TATTTTCGATGTTTATTATTAAATGTACACATTGTTGGACTATTATAAAAACAAAAAAATTTTACTTAAATGTTTAAGGTTAACTAAAAAGACGTTATTTTATGCCAGTAAAGCAAATCGAAATTTTGCAAAATTATGAAAATGCCGTTAAAAGGGGGATAAACTGTTAAATGACTAGTTTTTGAAAATTGATTTCATTAAATAAAAACAGATTTACATTTTAGAATATTTAGCCTGAAAATTTAAAGCTTAAGCTTTTAAAAAACTTTTTATTATGTGCACACAGTTCTAATGTAAGAATGTTAATAAATAAAGACGCCAACTTTAATTTTTTTTTTTTTGCATGATTAAATATACAAATAAATTGTTATTTTAAATAATAATAAATTTTATTCTCATAAAAAACTATTCTATGATCAGTTGGTCCATTGATGAGTTCTTTATGTAGTATATCTTTGTACACGCAGTTGATACTAGACTCATACTTCATTTTAAACCAGAAGAACAGTTGCTTGACTCAAAACTGTGACAATAACTTGTAGTGTTTAAATTATATTTTTACATCAATTTGAAATTTATGTGAATTACATTCCATTCGTTAACAAGAATTGAGGTAGAGCAGTGGTACCACAGAGGTAGAATTGACTTCTAATGATAATAATCGAAAGGACATGGACTAATATATAAAAAACATGTTACATATAAAAAAGTGCAATAAATGTTTTAAATAAACTGCACATACATACCAGATCAAACACAAAAACATACCAGTTGCTCTGTGCATAGGTTATTAAAATAATATGCCATATTTTTACACCCATTTAATGCTAGACTTATATTCCATTCTTTAACCTGAGCGGAGATTTTCCTGCACATTTTTTCAAAGTCTTCAATAATAGGCAATTTAAACTCGATTGGCATAATAAAACTTATAAAACTAAACAATGTTTTAGATGGAAAGACTTTAAGTAAAATTAAAATCACGTTGTTAGTGTTTTTATCAGTGTTCATTAATCGCTTAATAAAAGAAAAGTTACATTCATTTTCCCAGCCATTTTTCCATCCAATGTATAGTATTAATATCTCCATTTCACTAGAATGCATAGCGATAAATAAACTTCTCAATAAAAAGATAATACAAACAAATAAAATCAAATAATAATTATTGAAAAATAACAAGTATGCAATAGATATCAGAGGATTAAACAATTTATCTGATGTTTGTAGATTAGCCACAAGAGAATAAACCGCCAAAGTTTGTTTTATTTATACACTAAAGTTTGTCTCGCTAAAAAAGCTGTTTTAATCAGCTTAATTACATAGTGAATTGGGAAGTAACGTCATTGCTTTAAAATGTAAACAAAAATTTTACACATGTAAGTACAAGTTTTGTTGCTAAAAGCAACAAAATTTGACAAGGTTGAAGACATCTTAGTTAGAAGTACAGAAAGTAATTGTTTTGATTTTCATGTGCCTAAAGGGTTGAAATTTCAATAATTTGGAGGGCATAACAAAAATTGAACGTTTTTCATATAAAACAAGTAAAAACAAAAGGAATAATGCTAAAAAAATTAACTTAAACTATTTTTTTTATCTATGCCCTCCAAAAATTTGATAAAATAGACATTCGTTTATAAGTATGTAAAATTTCAATTATCAAGCATGTAGCTTAAAATATTAAATCTTGATTGGCCCAAGACAGGTTTTCTGTAAGATACGCATAAAACAGAAAAGTGATCCAAAATCATTTAAAATATTTTAACAATGTTTATTTTTATTTTGTTTTATGTAAATATTTATTTAACGAAAAAAATAGTTCTTTTATATTTTTTTAATTCGAAGAATTAAACGAAAAAAAATACTATTAATTTAAAGTTAGTGAATTTTCATACTTTTTATGCGGGATTTCTTTTTTTTTTTTTTAACACAAAAATTCTTGTGACGTCAATCTCGCTTTTATATTGAGTGAAACAGCCATGTTCAATTTTTTTCCTCAAAGTTTGTTGCATCAATTTTTTTTTCAAGTTTATTCTACCAGAAGATTTTTCCAGGATTTTAAGAAGTCATAGGATTTGAAATTAAAAAATTATAAACCTGCGTTTTTCAAGTTTGTTAAATAATTTTTAGTATTAGTAATTATTTAACTAAAATTTATAATAGAATTAAATATATCTTAATACAAAGTGATACATTAGACATTTAAAGGGTTTTAGTAATTAAAAAAAAAGATCAAAATAATTTTGTCCACCATATGTCTAATAACTGTACAGTGTCTTGAAAAAGATTTTATTGCTTTTGCATACTACACCTTTTCAAGATGTAAATGAGAACATGAAAGTTGTAATTAAGAAGTCGTAATATGTAATTAAGAAACACAACATGTAATTGAGAAAACGTTATATGTAATTGAGAAACACAACATGTAAATAAGAAGTCGTAACATGTAATTAAGAAACACAACATGTAATTGAGAAAACGTAAGATATAATTGAGAAATCATAATATGTAATTGAGAAATCGTAATTTGTAATTGAGAACACATAAATTATAATAGCAAATTCACAGTCTAAGTTTGTAGGTTGTTACAAAAGGTCTTTTTGGACATGAATTTAAGTTATAATCTTAAATTTTGCTTTTGTATGCACAAGTAATAATAATGGAATTAAAAGATCGTTGTGTTATATGCCAACACACTATGACCCGAAAGTCTGTGATTAAGCTAAATCCGTGTCAACATTTATGTCACCAAATTTGTTTACGTCCAGTTCTGGAACAACCAGATTCAAGTTGTCCGATTTGTCGGCATGAAATACACACAACTGAACAAGTTGAAAGGAAACGTTACGTTTTATCTTCTCCAAATGACAGGAGAAGAGTTGTTGAATGTGCGGAGCGATTTGAAGATTGGGTGAATCTCGCGCAAACGCTAGGTATCAAATATAAGACAGCATACAATTGGGTTCGCAGCGGAAATTCAAATTTCATCGGAAAAGGAGGTTTTAAACCGAAAAAGTTGACCAAAGATCAAATCAAAGAAACATTAACATGGATTGAAAATGTTTGTCAATTAACATTGGTGGCCATCAAAACAAAGATATTAAGACAATTTAACATAAATGTTAGCACAACAACAATAGCAAATTACCTCGAAGGCAGATTGTTCTCATTAAAAAATGTGCACAAGGAGCCTTCTACAATGAACAGTTATGAAAACAAACAAAAAAGAGCTGAATATGTTAGAAACATCAACGAACATATCACAAATGGTCGTCAGATAGTTTGGTTGGATGAAACAAATTTTAACCTTTTTTGTAGAAAAACGCAAGGACGCGCGAGACAAGGAAAAAGAGCAATTATGAAAGTACCTGCTTCAAAAAGTTTAAACATACACTTGATCGCAGCTATTTCAACTACAAATGTCGTCATGATAGAAACTCGCAGGGGATCATTTAAAGCAGATTCCTGTAACGAGTGGATGTTGGCTATGTTTCACCAGTGGGTTACATCAGGGAATCGTTTGGAGGATTTGGTCGTCGTAACAGATAATGCTCCTTGTCACGCTCGTTTGCAAAGGGTGTTTGATAATTCACCAGCTCAGTTGTTACGTTTGGGACCTTGCAGTCCAATGTTGAACCCGGTGGAAACGATCTAGTCCAAAATTAAAAGTAACGTTAAAAATGCAATTCGCATTCCACCTGTATTAGGTGAAGCGAAAAATACTATAATGGGAGGAGATTGTGCACGTGCGGTACAACACACAACCACGCACTATGCAACTATTTTAAATATGGAAGACGTACAAGTTGGTGCATAAATGATCAATGAAGTGATTTTTAATTATATAATTTTTAATTATAATTTTTAATTGAATTATAAATTTTTCCCTAAAATATTTTTAGTGTTTATTATGTTAAGTTCATTTGCCCAAAAATTATAAATTTTTCCCTAAATTTTTCCCTAAAAAATTAAATTTACGCTACAAATCTTGCGTCATTTTTAAGTGCGTCATTTTATACGCTCCATTTTTTTACGCGCCATTTTTTTTAAGCGCCATTTTACACTTACTCCTTTAAAGCGATATCTAAATTAAAATTTTCGTGTTCTCAATTACATCTTTCTATTTCTTAATTACAACTTACATTTTCTCAATTACATGTTACGATTCTTAATTACAATTTTCGTTTTCTAAATTACATCTTATGTTTCTTAATTACAACTTACATTTTCTCAATTACATCTTACGTTTCTTAATTACAACTTTTGTTTTCTCAATTACATCTTGAAAAGGTGTAGTTAACTGCAGCTAACTTCATAGTATGTTCTATTATAATAGCGAATGGAAAACCAGATATTCATCCATTCACCAGTAATAAAATTGTATGTTTGTTGCAGTTGCTACTAATGTTCTGGCAATAAAATAAATGCCAGTAATACTATAATTCCTCTTGAATTCTATCTAACATTACTAATATATGGAAGAACCTTAAAATCAACTTTGGCAAAAATTTTTTTTTCACATATCTGTAATGATGCCCTAGCTCACTTAAAAACTTCATGTCATCTCGTCAAACCACTGCTGGTATGCTGATGATTGGCATAGACTGTTTGAAATTTTTAACCAAGACATCATAGTTTTGTATAATTTTGTATTTATGGCAAATATTGTTTTTTTCACAAAAAACAGGAGACTAGTAAATTATAACGGCTTTTTGTTTTTTGCTTTTGATTTGTTTTTTATATAGATTTGTTTATAACGTTAAAAGTCATTCTACAGTAAATTTTACATTTTTGTAACAATTTGTTTACAATTTTGTTTGTATTAAAGGCTGAATGTCTTCAGCAATGAAACTCAAAGTTTGGCTAATCAGTTGTTTTTATTACATCTAAACAAAATACATATATAAATCCTAATATATCATCATTTTCATTATGGTTGCACAGTGTTTTTGGTAGTATATTATTTTTTTAATTTAATTTTATATTTTGTTTTTATTTTTCAGGTAAAAAGTTTTGGAAAGGAGTACGGTCCTCCAGGAGTGGCTGTGAAAATTTTTAACAATGGTAATAGTTTTCATTAATATTTTTGATTGAAATGAAATTAAAGAAACAGTAGAACATAAATTATTGTTGTTATTTATAGAAGGTACTTTACTAAAAGAAGTATTAACAAATGAAAATGGCAGGTGAAATAATATTCTTTTTACTTTTAATTTGTTTTTTAATGTTTTTATCAAAACCAAAACATTTTTGTTTATAAATTTTCTTTCTTTTAGTTACTCGTTTTCAAAAATGGTTCCGGGAACTTATGTTATTAAGGCCATGCATAAATCATGGACTTTAGCAAATGTATAGTTTCTCTTGAAAAAATATTTGTATTTTAAATAATGATTTTAATTAACGTCTGTTCACAAAAAATCCGGAATGAAAAATTGTTCTTAATTGAATACAAAATTAATTGATTTTTGACAAAAATTTTAACTAAAATGAGAGACTGGACATTGTTAACTATTTTATAACCGAAAGTGGTCCTAAATCAGCGGCTTTTCGAACTTTAGTTTTGACTGAATCCATTAGGTTGAAAAAGTAGTCTGGACCAAACTCTTTCAACTTTAATCAAGTTCTATTCTTAAGGTGGTCAAGATTTTTTGCAGTAAATCCATTTCCATAAACTTTTGCTTTTAAATGTGCCCAAAAATTTTCAATTGGCCTTAACTGCGGTACATTTGGGGGGTTATCTTTAGCGTCGACAAAGTTAATACCTAAAGTGTTGTAAGTTTCTAATGTGTGTTTTGCATAATGACATCTCGCTCCGTCAGGCCAAAATTTTCATGTTTTGATGCTTGGAATTTATAAATGGATGAAGTCTTTTTGTAATGCATTCTTTAGAATAAGTTTTTGCATCCAGTGCACAGTTTTTTACAGCAAAATAAGGCGATGAATGACCGAAACGACTGATTGCAATCCAAACGAGAACTTTCTTGTCAAACTTTTTTTTGAAGTTGAATTTAATGTTAGGATCAGTATGAGAACTATCCTTTGTATAGTAGCCAGAGTTTTGTGAACAATTTGCACCATTTACACAGAAATAAGATTCATCGTCCATGATGATTTCAAACTCATTTGATGGCTTGAAAAAAGTTTTTGAAAGTTTTAATAAGTTTTTCTTTTGTTTAATTTCTTGCTTTTCTGTTGTTTTTGGTGCATTTTTTCTTTTGGTATACTTCAGTCCATGCATACTTAATAATCTATTTACATATGAAACGCTTATCTTATATTTTAGTGCCAATTTTCTTTGCGAAATCCTGATTCTCTCTTCTGCTCTTGCAATCATGGACTCTATCTTTTCTGGTGTGATTTTAAAAGGTTTTCTGCCACAACCGATTTTTCTTTTCATTGGCAAATTATTTTCAGACCTTTTAATTATGTCATAAATTGTAGATTTAGCGATTCCCATTTTCTTAAAATGATCCGCTGTAAATTTCTTTCCACTGTTTATGTTTTGTTTATAAAAATTTCCAATCACATTTCTAACATTCTCTTTTAGACGCTCCATGTTTATTTGAATTAATTATTTAAACTCAATTTTGCCACAAAATGAAGCTGTTGTTGTTGACCGATTAAATTTAAAAATTTCGAATCGAAAATTCAAAATTTAGAACAATTTGTGTACATTTGAAATCAGTCCGGATTTTTTGTGAACAGACGTTAATTAATTTTAATAAAAAAATTGTTTTGTATGTTTTGTTTATCTAAAATAATTTTAAAAGTATTTTTAATGTTATGAGAAGATTTTTTTGAAATAATTTTTTTTTCTTCATGTTTTCAGGCCAATATCGAAATTGTAGTACAGAATGATAACTTTGTTGTTGATAGCGACATAGTTGTTTCTGGTTATGATGTTCAGGTATTTACTGATTTACAAGCTTATAATTTAAATAATCAAGCTTATAATTCAAGTAATTTAATAAAAAAAAATTATTTAAGAACAAATACATTAACGTCTTTTCTTAATTGTTTGTAATACAATATTGCTTAGCAATTTTATAACAAAATTTTATTTAAAAAAATTCACTTTTAAGGGTTCAGTTTTAAGTGGTAATGAGCCAATCCAAGATGTTGCATTTATTTTATATTCCAGTACAGTCCAAAGCGAGGTACTTTTTTATTTTATTTTACAAACTTAAGTTTTTTATGAATTAAATTTTTATATAACTTGTAGTAAATCTTTTTTTTAGCATGTTCACAATTGTGAACCTCTTCTTGAAAATATCACAAATGCTCTTAAAAAACATAATATAAAAGGTAGTCAAATATGTATGGTGCATTCATCTAAAGAGGGTTTGTTCTCATTTCCTGTTTTACCCAGTGGTGATTATACTTTGGTAAGATTTTTTATGGTGCAAGCTAGTTCATCTACAGTTTTGTTTAAAGAAATATTATGATGACAGCTATATTTGATGACAACTACATTTTTTTTGATTTATAAATATAGTTGTTAGCAACCATTTAAATGTTCAATTAAATGTTCATGGCAACATTAAAATGTTATGCTTTGTAACGTTGCTAAGGTCAATTGTTGTAGTATTTTAAATCTTTTTTCAAGGTACCATTCTATGAAGCTCATAACATGGTTTTTGAAGTTGTTCCATCCACTTATTACTTCACTGTTGGTTATGAAAGCATTATGATTGAAGTAAATTTTATTTTAAATTAATTTTGATTATTTATTCTGCTACTTATATGTCTTAATTCTGCTATTTGTTTTATCTTTTGACTATATTACTCTACCAGTTTGCTGCATACATTTTTCATTCTGGGATTTGTTATCTTTTTAGCTATTAATAACCTTTCATTTTGCTATTTGTATGTTATCATTATTTTTTTTAAGGTTTTTTATCTACTAACATTTAGCATTGGTCAATTGATTTTATTCCAAATTTTTGAAGCCAATTTTATAATATATTGCTTTAAAGGACTTTTTATCTGTTGATCATTATTCAATTGAATGCATTTTTTAGAAACCATTCCAAGTGTATGGATTTTCCGTTAAAGGTCAAATTACTGATACAAAGGTATTGTTTATAGTTCAGCGTATTTCTGATTAAACATATGAACAGTTAAATGTTTATATGTTTTGGTTAAATGTTGATTGCTATAAGTAAGATAATTTTCTATTTAGGGCATTGGAATTGATGCAGCTGTTGTAACAGTAAAAGACTTAAAAGGTAATTTACATCAAGGATTATCTGATAAGGATGGTTGGTACATGCTTGCAAATGTTACAACAGGAGACTATCAGTTTAAGGTGACTAACATTTTGACAAAGTTTTCTGATTTATAGCACAATAAATCAATGCATAAAATTATGAAAATTCAGCCAATCGAAATTTAATTATCAATCAATTAATGTCTTGGATGAATATTTAAAAATCACAAAATTGGAATATAGCATTAATTTAAGTTAAATATCCACCTTTTTGTACCAATCTTAATTTATTTCTTAGCACAGTGGACTTTAGATTTGTGATAAGTAAATATATGTAGTAAATAAAAGAGTCACATATTGAACTTGGGAAAGATTGGTAACTAAGGTAACTTTTGTTTATCATCTTTTGCAATTTTTTTAGGTGGAAAAAGAAAATTACTTTTTTGAAGTTATTACAATTTATATTTCTCCTAACACCCCTGTTTTATCTACAATCAAAGTTCAAAGGTTAGTCCTTTTAATGCTAATATGTAGTATATTTGTATTGAAAGTATGTAAGATTTGTGTTTATTTACTAATATACTGTAAAATTTGTGTTTATTTACTCAACATCAGGGATGAGGAATCCCAAAGGACTCTGGCTTTATATCTCAATTTTTCCTGGCCTTTAGTGTTCAGTCTAAACATGTTTGTTTACTTATGATTAAATTCATGAGATTTAATGACTTAAAACTTATCGTTTTTAAGCCCAGAGTTTTTTTTTTTTTTTAAACATTTTCGCTTCCAACAAGGCTGCAAGCAACCACTAATTAGTGTTGGAAGTTACTGGTAGAGAAAAGACGAAGATTGTAGAGCAAGATAACGATCGACAGACGATTTAAAAGATTGCAAATTATATGAATCAGGAAAGCAAGATGAAGGAAGCGAATTCCAAAGAACTGATGTTTGAGGAAAAAAACTAGACGAATAAGAGTTTTTGAAGCACAGGAACAATAACAGAAAAAGGATGAGACTTAATTGAATGACTAGTAACACGATAATAAATTTTAGTAAATGGTACAAGAGACGCTAGCTCTTTAGAGCAGTGCCCATTATAGTATTTGTAGAAAAGAGAAAGAGAAGCAACATTATGACGATGTGACTGAGGTTGAAAGTTGGCTGCAAGAGCAGGTCCAACTATGTTTACAATGCGTTTTTGCACCTTGTTTAAAAGAGAAAGGGCATCATTAGAAGATCCGCCCCAGATATGGCAACAGTATTCCATACAAGGCCGCATTTGAGATTTGTAGGGATAGAGAATAGAATCCAGAGTAAGAAAGTGTCGAGCTCGATAAAGAGAAGCAACTTTAGCAGATGCTAATTTTGCAACGGATTTGATATAAGATTTCCAAGAAAGATCAGAAGTAAGAGTTAATCCTAGAAGATGAAGGGTAGGAGACTCATCGAGTTCATTACCGTTCATAAATATAGGAAGGTCTAAATTATTGCGATAAGGATTGGCTGAAAAAAATTGAGTTTTATCTGAATTAAAGTTCACCAGCCACTATGAGCCACTGTGAGCCCCATGCTGTAGCAGAAGTGAGATCCTTTTCAAGCTCAGATACCCCCTGCAAGCAATCAGCGGGAGTTGGCTTCTTATTGTGACAAGAATAAATGGTAGTATCATCAGCGAACAATGCCACCTTAGATGTGAGAATATCTGGAAGATTGTTAATGTAAATTAAAAAAAGTATAGGGCCAACGATTGAACCTTGGGGAACCCCTGAGGTTACAGAATAAGAAGAAGAGTGCTGTCCATCGAGGACAACTTTTGTACTATGTTTGGGGAAGGAACGATTCAATAATCTTAAAGGTGTTTCCAGATACACCGTAAAAAGAAAGCTTATTGAGAAGAATATTAGTTCTGGAGTCCTTTCCACTATTTTACCTTTTTTATTTGTTTTTTCCTATTAATAGTCCATAAATTTTTTTTATAATTTTAAAGCTTACCAAAAACTAGGAAAAAGGACTTTGCATCCTTGCTCAACGTAATGCAAATTTTTTGTGTGTTCACACAACAATATGTAAAATAGCGTGGTAACAGTAATTTTAATTATTTTATTTTTGATTAGTTTTAAAGTGCAGATAGAAGGAAAAAAAAATGTTGAAAAAAAGAAAAAAATTTAGTACCCATAATAAATGTCTTTGATAAGTAGGTATTTACTCCTCTAACCAAACCCCAAGTTTGTTTATATTGTTCTTGCAGATAGCTATTTCAGTATGATGTCATCTGGAGTTTTATGCACAGTTAAGTGAGCATGTTTACAGTGAATTTTGTGACTTCAGGTTTTAGATACCAAAAGCTAGTGATGTATACAAGTTGATTATCTACAATTTTTTTACTTGATCATTTATATCAAGTCATCCTCTTTTTTTCTGTTTTCTTGCATAAGTATATTTATTGCCAAGCTTCTCCCATAACTATTAAATTAGGTTGTTAATTTTTTTGCTCTATTTTTAATTTTTTCTAGCACTTTGATTTCACATTTCTCAGTAGGGTTTTAAACAACTGGGCCATATTCTAAGTGTAGGCCAAATGAAAGATTTTTAGTCTTGCTAATGTTATGTTTGTGTGCTGGAAAAAATGTTTAATATTATTTAGTGGTTTGCTTTATTTGCTAAACATTGTAATGATGGCTCCATTTTGAAATGTTTGAAACAGATTTGATTATCTGTGTATCCTTATTAACTAGCTGTCATGACCCGTAAAATACGGGTCTTTAGGATATTGATGCACACTTTATCCGCGTGCTTACAGTTCATAAGAACTATTATCCGGTTTATAACGCAAGAAAATCTCAATCAAATGAAAACATCTAAATGAAAATTTTAATGTCCTAGATACGAAGATTAAACTTATTGATTGCGTAACACTAACTTTAACATAAATGGCATTTGCGAGACACTTCTTGCAACTTATGTCAAAATTTAATAGTGACTCTAAAATCCTAAAGGATAGGGGGAGACGCTTTTTTTGAGAAAATACGTATACCCACTCCAAACTAACCAAGCCACACCAACCCTCGTTTATTAATCTTTACTTATCAGGTCTCCTTAAAAATAACAATTGAAAATAGGCATTTTCCCTTAAATTTTAAAATGTTTTAATTAAAACTAAAAAAATTGTTTTTATTTCAATAAGTGATAAAAACAGAAACTTTCAGCGTAGAATCAGTTTTAAAAGTCATCGACCAAGTAAATCTGGATTTGTTGAAAAAGGGCTTTATTTCTCACTAAATCTAAATTTTATTTTAGCATCACTATAATTTTTATTAGCATTTCACTATTAGCTCACTAAAATTTATATTAACATTTTAAATTTCAAATATTTAAATTAAAACTGATTTTTAAAAATGTTGATTTGACTTTGAGCCACGTTTTAACTAAATTGCGTTATGGTGCTTTGTAAAAAGTATTAGTTGAAATTTTATATTCAACTTACATTCCTACCCCATTTCATATATTAGATTTGGACTAAAATTCCTACAGGACCCTTTTTGAAAAAAACTACAGTAAAAAGAGGATTTTAACCATTTATTAAACTATATCAAACTTACGAAGCAAAAAAACTCTTTACTTGTTCCATAACAAAAACTTGTTTTTACCACAAATTAGTGACAAAATTTTGCAAGCAAAAATCAAGGGGAGAGTGTTAAGAAATGGTGTTAAGAAAATAAAAACTATCGTTATCGTTGTTGCTTTTTATAGCTATATTACTATTAAGCCAGAATTGTAAAATCGAGGAAAAAGAAATCCTTATTTAACTTAAAAATTTCAAATGTTTTATGTAAAAGTTTTTAAATTTTTAAAAATGTTTTTATAAACAAATATAAACAACAAAATTTTTTTTGTGAATATATTTGATTTAATGTTAAAGACTTCACAACTTGGTTCGTTGCAAAATCACTTCACTGATTCGAAATAGACAGTCTAAAAGAAACAACTACGTAGTTATTATTACAATATTTATTAACAATCAACGAATGAAATGTAATTCCAAAAAAAAAAGTAATTAAGGTAATTACAGATTATGGTAAAAAAATGCTAAAAAGATATAACTTACTTTGACATAATATTTGGTTCGTAGAAGGTCGTATATTTATTTGGAACCCAAAAGTAAAGTTGATTTTTATAACAATTAAACTAAAATTTAAAATCAAATATAAGCAAAATAAATTTATTAAACTAATTTTTCGTAGCTCTTAGTGAATGATTAAAAGTAATTAGTCTCAGCAATGAAACTATCTAATAATCATTTTTAACAACAGACACCAACGTGAAGGTGAGCTAAGGAGTCTGTCAAAAAAATATTTGTGCTTTTCTATTAACATATGAAGCACATCTCTTTAATACTGTCATTTCATGTAATTGTCAACTGTTTTTTTATAAGTAACAAAGAATGGCTTTGCAGTAAAAATATCCAGTATCAAAGACTGTTTTTTTTTCCCAGTATCAAAGACTGGTTTTTTAACCAGTATCAAAGACTGGTTTTTTCCCAGTATCAAAATCTGGTTTTTATTGCAGTATCAAAGACTGTTTTTTAACCAGTATCAAAGACTGGTTTTCTAACCAGTATCAAAGACTGGTTTTCTAACCAGTATCAAAGACTGGTTTCTGGCTTAGCAACAACAAAAACAGTAAGTCAAAAATAAAATTGGCTGTGTTGTTATTTGTCAAAATGTATTGTCTCTAGTAGTAAAAAAAAAAGTAATAATTTATTAATCAAGTATATTTGTAAATACAACATTTTGTGTGTAAAATTTATTTAATGACATACCTTGTAATGAATGTTTATCAACTTTAAAAAATAAACTATTAAACGATCTTGTTCTTGAACATGCAACATATAATTGACCGTGTGAAAAGCAAGGCTTTTTAAGATAAACTCCAACTTTGTCAAAAGTTTGACCTTGACTTTTGTTTATGGTCATTGAGTATGCTAACCTAACTGGAAACTGACGACGTTTGAGTATAAAGGGTAAATTTGAATCCGATGGAGCTAATTGAACTCGAGGAACTAAGATCCTGTTACCAGCTGCTACCCCTGTTAGAACCTGTCCATCAATATAATTGTTGTGCAGTGCACGTACCATCAAACGTGTTTCATTACAAAGTCCGCCTTTAAGATCTAAATTTCTAAGTAGCATTACAACAGCACCAATTTTTAATTTTAGGCAATGAACAGGCATACCTGATGGAGTCAAACTATTTAAAAACTTGACTGGAAAATTATAAATTTCATTATGATCATCAGTTTCAATGCTATCTGAACTTTAGTAAATTTTAGTATCACCAGGTAAACGATCAAGGACTTCTTCATTTATTGCCAATGAATCAACATTTGTTGGTGTTAAAATAGCACAATTAGCATAATCAGCTTCCTCTGTGCCACCAAAGATCTTTTCCACAATAGATTCATTATCGTTTACAAAGCACTGCTCAGGTATTTCAATACACCCTCGCAAAGGATCTTCAGGCTTGACAGGTAAAGTTCCACTTCCAAGCTTTAGAAGCCATTGAGAAAATTCCTCTTCTCCTATCTGAACCCTCATATTTTCAGTTAATGAAAACCTTTGCACATACTGCCAATGTTCAGAACATTTTAAACATGATTCTACAACTTCAGCTGGTCGACCTCTTTTCATAAAATATGTTCAGTATTAAAAATAAAAAAAATACAGACAACTTAAAAAAATGTGGTTTAACTAAAAGCAAAGAGTAAAGTATATGGAAAGCAAGTAAACGAAAAAACTTAACAAATAAAAACAAAATTGGCGACTTAATGAACAAATAAAGACGACTAAAATTGAATTACTGAACAAATAAAATAATAGCGACTTACTAAACATCAAATCATCATCTAAAGCTTCTAAAAATTTAAAAAGAGGTCAATAAGCAATTTAAAAAAAAATTAACTAAAGAAAAAAAAAAAAAAATGCTACCTGACATGATTTATTTTCAAATTTATTAATCTAAAAAAATATCAAACAATGTAATAATCTAAAAATAATAATATGATAATGTTACTATCAATGTAATAAATCTAAATCCAAAAGTCAAGGATTAAAGAGATGTAAGAAAAAATTTGTAAAAAATTCTTTTTTTAAGCCTTAAATTTTATCTTTTTTTAAGTATTTAACTAAGCATTTAACTAAGCCTCGTGGTGATTAAAACCGCGTGGAAGAAAAACTCGATTGGCATTTTGTTTAAAAAACCTAGGTTGGCACTTTGTACCACAGCGATATTTATCATATACAAAAAAGCTGAATTTCTGTTTTTGTATATTTGATCAACAAAGTTTTTTCTCAAAAAGACTTGGAATATGTCAAGAAAGTTGGAAACTAAGTGTTAAAAGACTTCACGAAAAAACAAAATTTTGAAATTTGTGAACGATTTTTTTTCTCTCGTTAGCGAAGTTGGTTCTGTGTCAAAATGCGAGGATCAAACTTTTGATTAATATCTTTACATATGTTGTCTATATACAATATCTATAAAACTTTATAAGTATTTGAATTAGTATTTAAAAAAGTCTAAAAAAAAATTAAAACAGTATTCGCCAACGGTAGGACCCGAACCACGGCAGCTATGTTTCGAAGCCCAGCGCGCTAACCACTCTACTACACCGTCACGTAGTGTCTTGAAGATTTCAAATTATATAAAAATTGTTTTTTAACGGATAAAACACAAAAGATTAGAAATTAAGCAAAGGTTGACGAAATGCAGTTCTTAAGTGAAAATCAAACTGTTGAACTTGATATATGTTTAAGCATGTTTTAACATTACATAACATGAAGTTTATGTACGTACAATATGAGTTTCACGTTTGCTCGCGTTTTCTTATAAAGCAAAGGTAAAACTCTTTCTCGTCACTACCTCGGATGCAATGGTTGCCAAGAGTATCGTGTCAAACAGGCTCGAAAGCGCACTACTATTACTACTACTATTAAGTCCAGTATTATTATAAAGAGATATATATGATAAATAATAATAAACCTTAAACTAAATACCTTTTTATTAATATTTTCAAGTTCAAATATTTTTTATTATATTATTTTCAAAAAATTTGTCCTCTATTACTCTTTAATGTTGCTTAAAAAGATTTTTCACCATGCAAAAATTTTAATGATATTTTTCCTAAAAAGTTCATCTTTAAGTATAGTTGCTTACAAACGGATTCAAATACTTTTCTAAATTTCTAAATTTCTAAATGTGTCATAAATAATTAGGCCATCTGCAAAATATCTTGTAATAAGGTAGATGGACTCTAATAAATTAATGATAAAATTTTTATTTTTATTATTTTGTAGCTTGATGTTTAATTTTTTTTTTCAAATTCTTTGAAAGTTTATTGCAAAGGTTGAATTTAAAAAAAAAAAAAATTTTTTAGTTAAAATGTAATTAAGCAACTAGATAATTTTTTTTTTTTTTTTTTTATATATATATGTTTATTTACTTTATTTACTTTTTATAAATGTTTATTTACTTTAGTAATAATTTCTTATATTTAATTTTAGTTAATTAAAATTTTTGCTCTTCAAAAAAATTTTTACTTTTGAAGTTCAAATTTTTGTTGTTTAGTTTCAGTATTTGTGGAAATATTGAAATATTTCAGCTACCACAAGGAGTATTACCTGTATGTGTTTTCTTTATTTAAAATTTATTCAAAAGTTAATTTACTTATATTAATTTTCATAATTAATTATTTATGATTTTTTATATATAATTTATTATTTACAATTATTTATTTATAATTTATTAGTTATGTATAATTTCAGGGTTTTCAAAGTTATTAATGCATGTTTGCAAAATTATAAGTGCACGTTTGCAAAGTTATAAGTGCATGAATATATTTTTTTGGAAATTATTTTCTTTAGTTTTAAAAAATAAAAAATATTGCGCTAAATATTAAATTAAATTACATCTTAGCAATCAAAAAGTGTTTTTTTTTAAAAAAAAAAATAAGTGATTAGTAAAAGTTCTTCACATTTTTACTTAATTTAGCATATTGTTATATATCAATTTTTCTAGATTAGATACTTTAAGTTTTAAAAAATCCATAAGTTTTAAAAAATAGTCTACATTATTTAATCATGAATTTTTAAAAATGGCATGCAAAAATATACATAGTTAAAAAAAAATTAACAAATCATTTTAAATATTTTAATTAGATAAATTCTTCTCTCCTTATTGCCTTTTCCAACCATCTTCTTATTTTATATAAAAGGCATTTCACTGTTGACTATAATTATTATCAGGTGATAAAATGTATTCTAGAGTTTCTTCAATAGTCATATTTGGATTAGCATTTCTTGTTGATTTGAAATTGGAATTTAACATTAAAAAGAACTCTTTGATTAAGTTCAAATCAGGGGAGTATGGTACTAAAAACTTTGGAATAATATTTTTTTCTCATGGTAATTGAAGTACTGCAGCTGCTTTATGCAATTTTGTATTATCTATTATAAGAATTTTACTTGGATTTACTGCAAATAATGGTGCTAGTTTGTTGTTGGTGAAATCATTTAAAGATTGTGTATTCTATGCGCCACTTTTGTATTGGAAACATTCAACTCCTAAATTGGAAATTAAGCACATGAGGCTAACATTCTGTCCTTTATTTGCAGAAACTGTCAAGTATACTTTTGTATCTTTTGGAGAATAGCCATATAAGCGCACTGTATGTTTATTTAATCCAGTTTTGTCTAAAAAAATCAAATTTAAATCAGCAATTCTAGTAGCTTCTGCTGCAAAAATTGTTCTCTGATTTATTCCATGGTGTTTCTTTCTTGAGAAATGATTGCTAATCTTTTTTGTGTCAAATTTAATTTCTTTAATTAACGGGAAACAAACAAGATTGAAACATTTTTATCATGTTGTTCTAAAATTTGCATTTGAATTTCTTTTTGAATTACGGCTTTGTTACAGACCATGGAATTAAATATTTTCTGTTCGATGTTTGTATTTAAAGAATTTTCAATTTTATGCGTTTCTTTTCTTTTTATTGTAGATGATATGGGTATATTATTATCACTAATTTTATAACACAACTAACATTATTTCAAGTTGAATTCCAAGCATTGGATATTTCTTTGATTAAATATTTTTCATAATTTTTCATTGAAATAATCATATTTTTAGTTTCTTCTGTAATTGTTTTCCGTTTTTTTCTTTCTATTGATATGTAAAATTTAAGGGTTGAAATTAATTTTATAAATGCACTTATAACTTTGCAAACATGCACTTATAACTTTGCAATTATGTACTATTATAATTATAATTAAAAATTAACAATGATTAATTATTGTTAATATTGTTCTTCAGTAATTCACTTTATTCCAATAATAGATCTAAAAATCAAACTCTCAGTCTTTTTTCCAATTTTTTATTCCATGCAGTTTTCAAATTTTATATTATACCCCATTTTAAAATAACATTACCATAGTTTCCATAGTTTGTTTGTAAATATATATAAATGTCTTTTATATATATATATATATATATATATATATATATATATATATATATATATATATATATATATACATATATATATATAAAATATATATATAAAATATATATATATATATATATATACATTATAAATATATATTATACATATATATATAACGATGTTTCCTTTGATACCGTCGAATCCGATTGCTTTATTTGGTTTAATCGTTTTGAAAGCAGCTTCAAATTCCTTAATGGATATTTCAATGCAATTAAAAATTGTTCCTTTTGATGTAAAAATGCATAAGAATTACCATTATAAGGAATATTTTTTGCTAAGTCAGGCCCCGCTAAAATAAAATGCTTATTTAGTTTAACTGCAATATCGCTTGAAGCATATAAAATTTTATCATTAACTTTAATACCGTTAGGCAAGGCGCCTGATTTAGTTTTAGCTTTACCAGTAATTTTTCTTAAAACTTGCCAAGTTCGTTTTGAGTTGTTTATGTTTTTTTCAAGTAAGTCAAGATAGTATTTTTTTTTTAATTTTTTCTTTTTTTTTTCGAATTCTCTAGCATAATTTTTGTAAATGGTTTTATTTTCAACTGATTTGGATTTCAAGTATTTAATATATAACTTTTGCTTAAGTTTGGAAGATTTTATTAGTGCATTGGTTATTCATGGGTATGTTTTTTTTTTAAGCTTTTGGTTAATTTCAATTTTAGGAAAATTGATGATGATGCTAAATTTGCGTTACTATAAATGCGTTTAAAAAAGCTAATTTTATTATCTAGTATTATTTTAGTATATGTATTTATGGAGAAAAAAAATCAGAAAATGATCTGTGATATCGCATTTAATGATATACATACATATATATATATATATATATATATATATATATATATATATATATATATATATATATATATATATAATATATATATATATATGTCTTTTTCTCTGTTTGAATTTTAATGCCAACGCATAAAAAAGCGCTGGCAGGATGGTCATTTTTAAATTAGTCTGCACAATTAAAAAAAAAAATTTTTTTCAGCTATTTAAAATAAAATAAAAATAGAGAAAAGAATGCTAAAATAAAAACTAGATAAAATAAATTAAAAAAAAACTGGTAAAAAGAACCATTTCTCATAAAAGTTAAACAAATGAGCAAAAAAGTTTTGTTGCAATTTATAAGAAAACACTTTTTTTTTTTTGAAAGTATAATGGTTACAAAAGGTCCTCGATTTACTTTAGTAATTAAAATACAAAAAAAAAAGAAGAAAAATAATTTTTTTTGCTATACATTTTATTTTGTTATTATGTCTTTCATATGTAGATAGTGCCTACCTAACCCTTATTCAATATGCATACTAAAGCTCATGTCTATGGCTATTGACATAAGTTGTATATGATTTTTTTTTTTAAAAACAAACCTTAATTTTTTGAAAATTTTTCAAATAATATACTTCTTCTTAAATTATTTTTATGAAAAAATTTTCAAAATTCATGTCTATTACCCCTTAAGACCCTGATTTCTTTTGAGCTGATTAAAAAAATTTTTTTTTTGGGTGTAGTATTAGATTTATATTATATGATAGAAGATCTCAAATGACCTTTGTGTACCTTAAAAAGATGGTACACTAAGGTATAAGATATAAATTATAGATTTTGTAACTCGGTGTTTCTGTGAGACATTATTTTTTTTTTTAATATAGATTCAAAATCATAAAGTTCTATTAACATCGGAAAATGAGAAAAACTTTTCATCTGTGTCTCCGAAAGAAGATGGATCATTTTGCTTTAAATCTGCTCCTGGAAAGTTTATTATTGAGGTTTATTGTTTTCTTATTTATTTATTATCAAGAATTAATTACTAATGATCTACTTTTAGCTTAAGTTTTCTGTATTTTAAATTATTTATGCTCTCAGTATCAAATCTATATATAAATAAGGACCCTAAAATGAAATTTTTAAAAATGTTAACACCTTATTTGATGACGATTTCCACATAGTGAGTTAATGTCAATTTAGCTAGATTACATACACTGATACCTATCTATGAGTGAATAAATTTCTTTATAACGTATGTCCAAATTTTCTTAATTTGCAGTACACTAAGCACAAAACGGAAAATAAGCTGAAATTTTTATAGATAATCTTTAGGAGTAATTTTTTTTGAAGCATTTTGTTTGTTGACTGTAAATTATATATTGTTTAATAGTAATATATTGTGTAATATATATCGTTACCATTGATACTTAAATTATGTAAGACAAAATAAGAATTATCATCATTTATTAGCAATTTTTGATTTTTTAACACAGTCAACTGCACTTAGTTCTTGCAACTACATTTTGCTGGTTTAAGCATTTGGGAATTAGAGGAAATTTTATTGTCAAAATGAGTCTTAATTTGTTTGAAATCAAAGACTTTCTTTTTTCTAGATAAACAAAAGAATCCATTCTCATGGATTCTTTTGTTTATCTAGACTTACTCTCAGCACACTTTGAACATGGCAGTTTTAGATATATTCTCAATTTTAAAGTGGTCATAAATTAACTTTTTACCAACATATATGTAATTTAAATAGAGCTTGCACACATGATTCCTAATCCTTTGTTTTGAATTTATTTTATCATTTACTTTTAAATTTGTTTTATATCCATTTTTGTATAAGTAATAAAACAACATTAAGTATTTTAAACAACAATAATACTAATTTTAAACATTTTTTATTTTTTGTTTTATATTATATTTTAGAGGAGTTATGTCATCTTTGTCACATGTCACTTTAAATCTAGTCATATTTTTTCAGTTGTCACCGAACTTCTTTAGAATAATAAAAGAATATTTTATTTACTTATTAATTTAGATTCCATTATCAAGCGCTGAAAATAGATTAGGCTTTTTGCTCAATCCACCAAACATAACTGTTGAACTTTTAAACAAACCAATTTTAGACATCAAGTTCAAGCAATTTAGAGCTCAAATAAAAGGTGTTATCAAATGTTCAGGTGAATTGATTTTATATTTTAGGAAGAAAAAAAAACTTCAAAATGTTTTAGTTTAATTTTGATTTTTTATTTTGTCTAAAGAAAAAATGTTTAGAGGCTTGAAAAGATTTAATAAAAAGAACATTAAAAAGTTAAAAATTAAAAAATATAAGTTTTTTTTTATAGTTGTAGAATGCAGTGAAGTTAGTGTTTACATGGTTCCTGAAGATGGTCAGACTACAGATAGAGTTTTTGCTAATGTATTTTTACATCACATTCTCTTATGCTCAAGTTAGTTTCATCAGCATGTTTAAACATGAATGTTTTTGTTTCTGTAGATTGATGTTAAAGGGAACAAGATAGACTTTTCATTTATAAATGTTTTACCTGGGAAATATAAAGGTATAGTTACTTATGCATATATAAACTTTAATGATGCTGATAATGATAATGATGGTTTTAACAATGGTTCTTTTCATTTTAGTTGTTCCTTTGAGAAAGAAATGGTGTTGGGAACCTCTCCACAAAAGTATTGAGGTTTACAATCATGATATTGAAAATATTGAGTTTCAGCATAATGGTTTTTATTTAAAATGTTCAATCTCTCATAATATAACATTGGTAAGTTTAATCTTTAATATTAATACATGTAAAAAATATTTTAGTTAAACTTCGAACTAAACTGATCATAAATTTTATTTTTTTATTTTTACAATTAGGATTAAATGATAATTAAAAAAACAACATTTCTTTTCATAATCGACTAAAACAAGCATTAAACACATTAAGATATCTCAATGTGTGCTTATTATATATAAGATATCAATAAAGGCACAAGTTATGAAATATTGATTGTGAATTATGGAATGCACTTTTGTAAATTAAAAGAACTCATAAAAAGTTGTAAAGTTATTAATCATGACCTAACACCCATATTCACCAAAAGAATTTAAGTTAAAAAAGAAGGAAACATAGACATAACTACAACTTTTAAAATGCATCAGATTGAATTTCACCTAGAATTTTTGTATTTATTAAGCCTTACAAAACTGACTAAAGTTACTCAATTTGCGCTGTTGCACAGTGAGTCAAAATCCATAAAAACGGCAAAAAAAAACCCATAAAAAACTCTTGCTAGAAAATAATTAAGTTTTCATGTAACTAAATACCGCTAAAAGACAATAATTAATTTTTTTGTGATTAATTTTTAAGATTTCACAAATTTATACGCCTTTTTCCAAGACATATTTTTAAAATTTTATTTCTCCGAAAACTCGTTCACAAAAGTCTTTCTTTTAAAATTGATATGTGTAAAAACAGTTCAAAATTAATTTGAAGTCATATGTTTAAGATGTTTGGTAACTATTAATAACATTTTTGACAATAAATTTTAATTTTAGAATTTCATTACTGAGATCTCAAAAATGTGTCATAAATTAATTTTTTAAAATTAGCTTAATTATGAGTTTAGTTCAAAAACTAATAGATTCCACTAGATTCCATGCTAGTTTTAACATTTTTCCATTGATGGGTATATATGAAAGCAGAAAAAATAAAAATTATTTGCCTCAATTTACCCCAATTGAAATAAGACCTTTTAATTACTTTGTATTTTTTATATATATATTTTTTGTTTTTAATTAAAACTTGCATAAAATTAGCGAACAATAGTTCATTGCTTTCATCACAAAAAATAGTACCTTTAGTTCCTATTAGTAAAAATACTCAAGCAGATGGTACTAATTATCAAACCTTGAAAATTGAAATATGCAAGAGTTGACAGCATATTGCACGGAATAATTGATATGAAATGAATATGAAATTTTAAATGGAAAAATGAATAGACTAGTCAAGTTAAAAGTAGAGAAAGAAAAACCAGGTATGACTATCACATTTAAGATCAAACTAGATTTAACAACGTTTGATGGTAAAGTGGTTAATGCCCTCACTAACACTCTGCCCTCTTAATCATTTAATGTTTGCTGAGCTAAGCTTAGTGAACTTAATAACCAGCATTGATCAGATTTAAACCAATCGATGAAAAAGCTTCATCTACTCTGCATTGCTGGCTCAGATCTTTTAAATTTAGATCTTTTAAATTTTACATTTAGGATATAAGTTAGACATTATAAAAGTACTTTGCCAAACATCTTGCTGTAAAAGCATTAGTAAAAATATAAAAAGTACGTCAACTGAGGTTTTGAGAGAAGCTAAGTCTTAAAGTTGATATGCCCAAACAGGTTTTGGCAACACTAACGATGGGAACACTGCTAGAAGGGGATTTCAAAATGCTGAAACTTTTACTGATATAACAGGAGTGACAGTAGATGTAGTTATTAGATTGAGGACAATCCTAGTATCAGTATGATTCTGTTAAGAGTTGAACTCTGAATGTTTTGGCCAGTATTGCTATGATACTACAGCCCTTATACTCAAAAACTATTGCTGGTATGTGACTCCCCAAACTGTTCATAAACTTTTGGAACATGGTGTGCAGATATCTGAGATATAAGAACTGTAAATTGGTTACTACTCTGAAGAGTCACTAGAGGTTCTGTATGAGGAAATTTGCAAAGCTAGATTGAAACATACAGATATCTAGAAAGAATGTTATGAAAAACCAGTACCAATACCTCTTGATTAGAAGTGATCCTGTAGTATCAAACATTTTTTCAAAAAATACAAGTTTAAAAATGTTTTTAAACTTGTATTTTTTGTATCAAACATTTTTTCAAAAAATAAAGTTTAAAAACCCTTACCTCTGACGTTTTATCTTTGTTATTGCCGTAATAATGAAATAAAGCTTTTTTATTAATACAAGGTTTTATTTTTTTGTTTTCTCTAAAGAAAAATTAGATGAGACAAATATTTATTTTGCATATAATATATTTTAATATTATTATAATATTTAGTTTTATTTTGATTTTTTGAATCCAATTTACTTTTTAATCAGTAAATGTTTTGGTTTGAAGAATATAATCTTTTAAAATTAAGTCTTTGTGCTCGTAAAAGACTCTAACACGTATGCACATGTGTAGTACGAGCCTTAAAAACAAGTAAAAGACTGTAACACGTATACACATGTGTAGTACGAGCCTTAAAACAAGTAAAATTTATATTAAAAATATGTGGTATTTTGGATCAAGGAATCTGATCTTTTTATTTAAATCAATTTTTTCCCACGTAAATGACGATTACACTCGTAAGCGCACATTTTACACGTCATAGGTACACGTAAAAATTATTTTAAATAGCAAATTTAAATTTTTGACCAAAAATACGATAGTATTGATGTATCTTATGTTTATATATGATAGTTATATAATTTTTGCTGTTTTTTCACCTTTCTGACTCACTGTGTGTTGTATCAATCCAACAGAAAATAGATACCAATTCAACTTTAGTTTGTAGTGCCACACATCACATACTCTGTTCTCCCACTCCTCCTAATGAAGGAAGGAATACTATATATTAATTTATAAAAAATAATTTCATTTAGAATTTTGCTTTGGAAAACAATGAAGTTGTAGGATCATTTGAGTTGAAGAAGGGTTTAAACCAATTTTGCTTTACACAACCTGGTTTGTTTAATTAAAATATTTTATGTTGTATCCTGTATCAAATAGAGTTTTTCTAATAAAAAGAAATTTTGTTTATATTGTTTTAATTTTTTATTTTCATTTTTTTGTTGCAAAAGTTTTTTAATTTAAGTCTCTTTTAAATAAAGTCTGTTTTTCCAGGTATATACACTTTAACTCCACAATCTTGTTACCACTTTGAACAAGCGAAATACACTTATAATACGTAAGTAATAAAACAAAACAAAAAAATTTCACAAAAATGTTGCATTAAATAAAGTAACATCTGACATGGTATAAACAGTTATTTTTGTTTCATAAATACTATTTTTTCATCCATGTTTATATCTAATCATATCATATTTTCTATTTTTTCAATAGACTAGAACCCACATCATTAAGACTTTCTGTTGTATCATTTAAAATTATTCTCAAGGTCTCTACCACTAAAGAAGTGTCAGACATGAAAATTATAGCCAAGTAAGTATAACAAACAAATGATTTAACAACTTAGTTTCCATATTTTTATTTCAAAACTGCATTGTAAAGTATGTGTATTCAAAAAAAAATGTAGTAATTGTTGCTCCCAATGAGGACTTCAAGAGATGTAGAGAGATTAGTTGTAATTTTTTTTTAACTCATTAAAAATAATTTTTTTATATTTTTTATTTCTAGAGAGATGTATTTAAATGTATACAAATCAATGTATACATAGTATCTTGAGGGGTGGGGCATAGGGGTGTCTAGTAAATTAGTCTGAAAAATTTGGATGCTGGAGTTGGCAAAATTGGATTTGTTGTTGGCAGGCGGCAAATGTTAGAAAACAAGGACTTTTTTTTCTTTTTTTTTCAAAAACCTTAGTTTAAAAAAAAAAATATATTTCTGGGACTTACTCAGCTAAAACCAATTTGTCATCCACCCCCATCCTCTTTAAGATTTCTTTAGGATAGCCGTGTGTATGCAAATAAATAATTTTTTTACTTTTTTAATAAACTTTGTTTAATTAAAAAAAACTATTTCATTCTACTTTTAAAAGTATACAAGTCATAGGTTAATTGAAAGAACATCTAATTTAAAATCTATTATAAAAAAAACACCTAATTTAAAAATAATCATTTATATTTTATTTCTTACATCATTGGTTGCGTTGTTTTAATTTGTTGTTTTTTAATATTTGATTTTTTGTTATGATCATCACGACAAAAGAAACAAAAATGCTTGTAAAACTTCAAGTAAAAACTATGAAACTCAGCATACAATAATATCAATATGTGCTAAATACACACACCAAATGATAAAACGATAAAGTTTTATTAAATTTCACTTCTTTTGAGACCCAACATGATAAACTTTTGAAGAACTTTTTTTTTCAAAATATTAGTGACTCCTTTGATGTTTAATGGTCTTGAGCAACCTCTAAAAATTTTTTTTATTTAAAATTATTTTTAATTTAGTGTTAATTTATTACATAGAACACATTTAGGGGGTGGCAGCAGACAATTTCAAAAAACGTTGTTTTTAGTGGCACTCTAATATATATATATATATATATATATATATATGTATATATATATATATATATATATATATATATATATATATATATATATATATATATATATATATATATACACACATCCAGGTATATCTTTAAACAGTTATGAAAAAGAATTTTTCATAATAAATTTAGTTTAGATTATTTTTATATGAGTATTTTATTTATTTTTATATCAGTATCATGTTTTCTATTTTTGCAGATCTTTGAAAAGTAATAAAGAATTTATTTTGACTCCGTTAGCAACTAAATTAGATCATAGTTATGTTTATGAAGCAGAACACTGGGGGAGGTACATTTCTTTTTTTATTCACTTTTGATTTTAAAATTTACGCAATTATAGAGGTAAAGCTAGAAATTAATTTGTAACAAAATTGTTGTTCAAAGGAGAGGTCTTCTAGTGCTAAACTATATTTAAAAAAGTTAAAAAATTAGTGATGCAGAAAGCGAGTTGTTGTTATGAAGCTATTTGTTGCTATGAAACAAAAGATAATAAGAAATGCTTAAAAATTTGTTACCAAAAAGCAATTTGTTTCAAAATATCTTTATTATAATAAAAAATAAAAAAACAAAAAAATCATCATTTAAAATGTTAAAAATATAGTTTTGACTAAATATAAAAAGTTTTTCTAATCTTTATCACAGATGGCCAAAAAAAGTTTTTATGTCACTCAAATGATGATTTTATGTCATGTCACTCAAATGATGATTTTATGTCATGTCACTCAAATGATGATTTTATGTCATGTCACTCAAATGATGGTTTTATGTCATGTCACTCAAATGAAACCTTTTTTATTCTAGAGTATTTGCCTTGTAACAATAAAAGAGAGTTTTTTAAAAAATATCCAAAAAAACAAGTTTCATAATTGGGGTAAAGGGGACAATTGAGCGGTAGCTTCATTTAAGCATTTAAAATGCATGTTACAAATTTTTAAATTTTTTATAAAAAGTAAAAAAGTGTTTAAAAAAACGGAAAAATGTTATAATGGTCAAAATAAGGCAAATAGTAAAATTGAATGGGGCTAAGCCTATTTAAGCATTTTAGATGCCAATTACCCTTTGCCCCATTTGCGACCTATATCATTTTATCCTGATTTTATTAACACTCTATTTTTAAAGAACAAATACTCCTTCTTGTAAAAAAAACTTTTGCAACATGTATCTAAAATGCTTAAATAGGCCACTTATGCTTTACCCGGCGACTTACGCCTATTCCATACTGCAGTAAAAAAGGACTCACTACAAATAGCCAAAACCCAACCAACCCCAAATTTGTAAAGCACCAATATTTTTTTGATGATATGATATAAAAAGTGTAGGTTTACTGAACAAACAAAAATAAAAATAATTAAATTAAAAACTTACCATACCACCAAAAGAAAACATGAAAACAAAATAAATTAAAATTCTAATAGAAACATAAAAAAGATTTTCATAAATTTATTTTAAGAAATAAAACCAAATAGGTATTATTATCAGAATCCCATATATATAAGAATATTTGTCTTGTAACAAAATATTCAGTTAAAATTACAGCAATTATAGTTGGTCAGGGTTAGGGTTAGGGTCAGGGTTAGGGTTAGGGTTACCCTAACCCTAACCCAAAACCATAAAACTGAGTTTTATGGTTTTGAGGCTGGCTGGTATTCAGGATTTCCGAACTCTGTGGTAGCTCTTAGAAAGGCTGATTCCATCAACAGCTGAAAAATATCAAAGTACTAACAGTGCCGTGTTGCAGATAAATAGAGTCCCTGTTTGTACTTTTAATGTGCATTGTTGAGCCTACATTTGGAGCCCATTGTTGCTTAGGGTTTATTAATAGTAATGAGCAATTGCTTGGACTATTAAATAGTGTACTGATTACTATCTATGCTTTGAGTCAAATTCTTTAAAAAATTTAAAATGATAAAAGTACCAAAAATTATAAAACACAAAAAACCATTGTCATCATCAAGTTCTCTAAATCATTCACTAATAATCGTGGTCTTCCAAGGAACTTTTCTTCTGCTGAGTCTTATCTCTTGCAAAGTTCACCAGACCTACTTGCTTTTTGTGAGACTAATTTGAGTACAGCTGTCTCATCTTGCAGTATTAGTTTTGATAGTTATCTTCCTTTAATTCGATAAGACTCCAATAGTCACATGCTTGGCCTGGGCATTTACATTCGTAAGAATTCAGGAAACTAGGTTTCGTTTTCTACCACTTCACTCTATCGCCTTTCTCTTCGTTCTATATTGCTCTCCTTCATCTCAAGACTGTACTCTTTTTAATGTTATTTCTGATCATATTGACCAAACCCTCTCTCTTTATCTATCAGCCAATATTGTTGTTGCTAATGACTTTAATGCCCATTACACGAATGGCTTGGCTCTAGTGTTAGTGACTCTGCTGGCATTAAGGCCCTCAACTTTGCCTTTCTCAATCTCTAACTTAAATAGTCAACTTTCCAACTCACTTTCTAGACAACCTAATCATTTACCTTCACTACTCAACTTTTACATTTACCTTCTACTCGACTGTCTTGTTTCTAATCCTAGTCAGTGCTCAATTTCTCCACATTCACCCTTAGATGCTTCTGATTACAGTTTGATCTCTCTAAAACTATTATTGCATTCTTTTTCATTATCAGAATCCCCCTATCTTCATACCTCTTGCAACTACCTTAAAGCTGACTAGGACTCTTTCCGTGATTTTCTTCGTGATGGCTGTTGCGTAGAAATCTTTCGTCTTCCTGCTGATAAATGTGCTTCTTACATAACTTCGTGGATTCAGGCTGGCATGGAATATATATTCCCTCTTAACAAATTAAGGTCAAGCCTCACTCTACTCTATGGTTTTTCTCACATTGTGCTGCAATTTCCGATCGAAATCGTTACTTCCATATCTATCAGCAAAACAATACTCCAGAAAACAGACTTCTGTTTATTACTGCTAGGAACAATTGTAAAAAGGTTTTGTCTAACACTAAAGCCCGCTATTCTCAGGTCATGAAATCTCGTATTTCATCACAAAAATTAGGCTCTCGTGACTTCTTGAGAATCTTTAATAGTATCAATAATAAGGGCAAGTCTGTAATTCCAACTCTTTTGTATGGTTCAGACTCACAGTTCAACTTTGTCTTTAGGTAAGGTCACCTCACCTAAAGACAAAGTTGAATTGTTTACAAGAACTTTTCAACAATATCATCTCTTGATTCCACTAGTTTCGTTCTACCTGATTTAGCCGTCAAACAGGTTGATCCAGTGCTTGACATTCGTATCACTCCAGCTTCTGTATCTAAAGTGATTTCCTGCTTAGATTCTTCTATAGCTTGTGGTCCGTACAACATACCTGTTATAGTCTTGCAGAAGTGTTCTCCGGAGCTGTTCTCCATATTTTCAAGTGGCATCCATATTTTCAAGACTATTTAACATGTGCCTTGTTTTCTGGCATGCTGTGAAGCAGCATCTGTTTTTCCTATTTTCAAAAGTTCTAGAGAGTGATCTGACTCATCTAACTCTCGTCCTATTAGTCTTCTTCCTATCATAAGCAAAGTTTTTGAATCTTTAATTAACAAACAATTAATCTCTAATTTTGAATCTAATAACTTACTTTCTGATCATCAATATGGATTTCAATCTTCTTGTTCTACAGCTGATTTGCTAACAGTTATAACTGATAGGTTTTATTGTGCATTAGATAGAGGTGGAGAGATTAAGACTATCGCTCTTGACATTTCTAAAGCTTTTGATAAAATTTGGCATGCTGGACTTCTCCATAAGTTTTCTTCTTACAGTGTCTATCTGGCAACATCTTTAAGATTATTGAATCCTTTCTTTCCGATCATAGTATAAAAGTTGTCCTTGATGGACAGCACTTTTCTTCATATCCGGTAACTTCAGGGGCTCCTCAAGGTTCAATCCTTTTTTTAATTTACATTAATGATCTTCCAGATATTCTCACATCTAAGGTGGCATTGTTTGCTGATGATACTTCCATTTATTTTTGTCATGAAAAGAAGCCAACACTCTCTGATTGTTTGGAGGAGCATCTGAGCTTGAAAAGGATCTTACTTCTGCTACAGCATGGGGCTCACACTTTTTTTCCTCGAATATCAGTTCTTTGGAATTCGCTTCCTTCAACTTGCTTTCCTGATTCATTTAATTTGCAATCTTTTAAGTTGTTTGTCAATGGTTATCTTGCTCTACAAACTTCATCTTTTCTCTTCCAGTAACTTCCAACTCTAATTAGTGGTTGCTTGCAGCCTTGTTAGGAGCAAAGATGTAAAAAAAAACAAACAAACAGATGAAGCACTAGAAAGGTTGAAAGAAAATGAGGTAAAAAGAAATGAGAAAAAGAAAAAAAGAGCTACTAAAACTGCTAGGTAAATACTAAAAAAGGCAAATACTATAAAACTAAAAATACTACCTACAACTTTAGATCTTAGCATTAAACAGGAGAAAGATTTGACAAAGAATAGATCTTAGAAAAGCTCTTTTTAAATTTTTTTAATGTGTAATAATATTATAAATCAAAATTTCAAAAAATCTTTTCATTGCATCTAGTATTTTATTTCTACTATCCTTTCAACTAATGTAAGTTGGGTAAATTGGGTATAACAGCTGTAAAAAGCATGTTTTACTTTTAAAACGTTTTTATACCCATAAGATAATTTGAGTATATTATAACTAACGGTGTGAATTTTTTTACTAATAAGTTTATGACCGCCAATCTTATACTAAACTATTTTAGAAGGTCACAATGTTAGAAGGGACAAAAATAGATTTCATATTTTTTAAAGGAAACTAAATAGCATAACTTAAAAGTTGCAGATAGGTACTTTTTATATCCAAGTTACCCTGACAGACCCTAAATGATAAAGTGATTTCATGCTGAGTATTAATAAGAAAATTAAAAGTTTACAATATGAAACAGCATTTGGAAAGATTACTTCTATCAGAATATAAAACTGTTGAAATGAGGCTTATGGCTAAAAGAAAACCTTCAGAATCATATTTATCACATACAGAAAATTTCAATACTAAAAAACTAAGCAGACTACTTTAGATTCTTTTGCTATCACTAATAGTACAACAATAAATCAAGTTAATACTACAACTTCTATAATGGGAATTATTAAAATGGTATTAAATAAAAGACTTTTGTTAAAAACATTTGCAGATGAAAGATTTAAGTTGGTTAAAGGCCAATTAGGTGAAACTCTTGGGTTTAATACTGGACACGATTCTGTACGTAATTTGCTTCATGAATTTAGTGACAAAAAGTTAAAAGGTAAGAATGCTGAAGTACAGGAAATATTGTTACAGAAATTTATTTATGTGAAAATATAGCAGCCACTCGACACCAAAAGAGTTTGGGAATAAATATTATTATACAGGAAAAAGTATAGAAAACTTTAGAGCTGATAGATACAGAAAGACAGCAACTAACTCTTTGCTACTATTTAAAAAATGGTGGAAGATACTTTATATAGATTTGGTATTAGCAAAGATCAAACAGTATATGCAAGTGTAGACAATGCAGAAAATATGATTAGGGCAATCACACTTTTAAACAAATATTCAGATGACAAAAATTTCTAGATGAATCTTTGCAGGATGAAAAACAAGAAGAGTTTTTACAACAGGATACAAATGAGGAAGAAAGTGCAGCAGCTTGAGAAGAAAATCTTTGTTCTCCCAGATTGGTGTCAACAATTGGTTACTGACATTAAGCTATTTGTGATGCTTTATAAAAAACATACATTGCCTAACTTCTGGCAAAAGTTTATTATGTTGTAAAAACTCACATATAATATGTTTAGCAAGGAAGCAATACAAGATCGTTCCAATTTCGGATAATGAGACACGTTGGGATTCTACATTCTAAATGATTATTACTTTTTTGCCCGCTGTGTGAGCATTTTGCTGCAGTTGATAAGATATTCTTTTTACGCCCTGAATTATGGGAGTTGAGTCATCTTCGCGATCTTGTAAAAGAGCTGTATGATGTTACAGTTAAACTTCAAGGAATCAACATCACTCCATTGACATCACTCCATTGACATTGACATCACTCCATTGACATCACTCCATTTACATTAACATCACTCCATTAACATCACTCCAGGAGAGTTCCTAAAGGAATGGTATACAAGAAGCGTGCAAAGTAGTCACTTGTATTCCTGTCTCACAAGCAAGTGTACAGAGGCTATTTTCTGCGCTTAAATTTATATTGAGCAATGTGTGAATCTTGACTAAAACCTGATATTTTACATAATATTTTATTTTTAACAATGAATCAAGATTTTGATTAATAAAATATTATTAGTAAGTTACTGTCATAAAACAACTTAAAAAAGAAAATTATTTGTTTTTTGCAGAGCTGTTCAAAAGCTGGAGCTGAAAATTCTAATAAAGAGCCAATTTTTAGACCTCGGGTCCAAAGCCCTGTTAATGTATATATCTATTATATATAATTTTGTTTCTTTTGATACCAACACTGATATAGTTTTAGAAAAAAACAAATTTTTATGGATCTCAGACAACTAGTTTTTTTAAGAACACCTAAAAAGAATATCTTAAACATGTTCTCACTGAAAACTTCAACAGCTATAAAAAGAAACCAAAGATATAGTTTCTGATGTTGTGAAAACAATTCTCAAATTAAGAATAATTGCAGATGCTCATGGTTAGCAACTGCTTAATATTCAAAGTTTATCACAAAAGTTCTTAAGAATAAATTTATAAATAAAACTATAAATAACTTGACTACACAAAATTAAAGTTTTCATCATATATATTCATCCCATCATGCTGGTCTCTAATTATGTAATAACTTTTCAATAATTACAGTTATTGATAGACATTACTAAACATACAGCATGGGTAATGCACTTTACCAACGTATTTGTTTGCAAATACAACCAATTATACCACCTGGCATAACTTGTATCCATTTAGACAAGGTAATTTTGTCTCTACCCATTCACCCATTTTTGATAAAAACATTTTTTAAATTAAGAATGAATTTATGAATAAAATATTGATTTATATAAAATATATATATATATATATATATATATATATATATATATATATATATATATATATATATATATATATATATATATATATATATATATATATATATATATATATATATATATATATATATATATATATATATATATATATAATATTAAAATTTTATATTTTATTATAAGTTAATTTTGTTATATATAAAATTTTATATTAAAAAGTATTTTCTCATACTCACAAACTAGTAAAATCAATGAAAGAATAACCAAAAAAAATTTTTTTACTGAAAAGTTTGTTTGCCATTAGTTTATATTAGTTATTTTATATTTCATTTTACTTTTTTATATGAGAAAATATTTTTATCTTATTTAATTTTTATCAGTATTTTCAAAAGAATCAATTTAATTTATTTTTAAAAACTCCAAATATGTGGAAATAGTATATCATCCAATTCTTACAAACTATTTCTTGTTGTTCTACAAATTGATATAAAACCAAATTAAAGATTATTGTACACTTTCCAATAATGCACAAACTTTTTTTTTTAACACTTTTTTAGTTACATTTAGACTCAATGAAGATTTTTTAATAACACCTCTTTCAAAAGAAGTTCTGTTTTATCCTGAAGACCTTGTAATCACTACAAAAGGTAATATTAAGTTCATTGAAAGTTTTAAATCTCTAAGTTTTTCTTGAGTTTTATTGATATCTTAAGAAAAAAATAATAACAAATAAAATTAAAATTTTTTCAAGAAAACTGTCCTGGTGCTGAAGCAACGTTTGTTGGAAAAGAAGGCATGTTTATTGAAGGTCATGTGTTTCCAGATTTAGCAGGTGTTTCAGTCACTATACATACCAAATCTAATAAGTTAGGTAATCGAACAATCGAAACATCAACAGATGATCTTGGAAGATACAGGTAGGATACCAATTATAGGTTTTTATAAACTATTTTTAAAAGATGTTTATTATAATAAATTTTGAAATATTATTTTTGTTTTTGTACTTTGTTATGATTTGTAATCTGTAATTTGTTATTTGCGTTTGTGTATTTAATTCTGTTTAAGTTCTGTATTAAGTTATGCATTAAATTCTGTTGTTTTGTTTATTATGTTGTGTTGTATTATATTCTGTTCATATGTCTCATTGATGTTTTCTATCATTTGTTGTGTTATATTCTTTTATTTGTTGTGTTATATTTTTTTGATATATGGTGTTGATGTTTTGTTTTTTGTTTCAAATTTTTTTATAAATTATGTTGATATTTTGTATGTGTGTTTTAGGAAAATTCATGTTCAAATTTTCCTATATAAGTTTAAAAAAATATAATTAAAAGAGATAATGGGTATATCAATAATAAAAAATATAATAACAATTCAGCCCTTAAAATCCAGGTATTTAGCGATATAATATATATATATATATATATATATATATATATATATATATATATATATATATATATATATATACATATATATATATATATATATATATATATATATATATATATATATATATATATATATATATATATATATATATATATATATAATCGCAATATTAGTTCTGTGTTGTATCCACATGAATTAAATTTGAGATAATTGTAATGATTGCCATATGAAATACATTTTAAAGAAAAGCTTTCAATCTGTAAAAAACAAAAATGAGTTATCATGTGAAAAATAAAGTTTTAACACTGAGTCATTTTATGTTTTACATAATTATTCATAATGTACAACAAAAGATGACTGAAGAAATTCAAAGATTGAAGCTGTTAAAATTTGTTCACAATACTGTTTTAAGAGCAATAAAACATTATAAAGACAGGTAATACAAAGATATAAGTATATAAGAATAAATATATAAAAATTAAGATATAACAAAGCAACAAGGCATAAAAGAGTAAACAAATAATTCTTCTTTTATGAAAAAAAGCTTGCTGCAAATTTAAAACTTTAAACCTAGGATTTTACAACTTAAAGATTTAGAATTTCTTCAATCAAACTTTGCTGTTTAAAAATGCTTCATTCAATGAATTTAAGATTCTATGAAACTCAAATCTTTGCAGAGCAAAGCAAAATTTTGTTGACTTGCAACAGGCTAAATACAGCACTTTTGCAGAGAGCTTTATTAAAGCTTGCATAGAGCTAAATACAGCACTCTTGCAGAGAGATGAAAATTATAATGCAATTTTTTTTAAATAAGTAGTTTTTGTTTGTTTTTAGAGTCGGACCTTTGCATAGTGACTTGGAATTTATTGTTGTAAGTTTAATTTTCGATTTTACTTTTTTTTTTTTATTCTTTTTTTTTTTAATTATTTTTTGAAAATTTTTTTTTCACTTTTAGTTCTATGTTTTTAAATAAATTTATGCTTTATTTTATTTTAAATAATTTTAGAAGTTTTGATAACACATTTAGTTATTTAATTTACCTGCAAACATGAACTAAATACAGCATTTTTAGATATTTAAAATATTAGTTACATTTACAAAATTTACTATCACAATATTTGATTATATCAAATCAAGATATTTTAAAAGCAAGATAATCACAAGATATTTTAAAGACAGCAGTCACGTTATGGTTAGATTTCTGGTTTCAGAACTGGAGGTCTTTGGTTTAAAGTATGCTTTGGCCTTATGTGCAACATTGGTAAAGAAGGAGGCATGAAATTCCTAGTTAAATGCTTTCCGCAGTGTTAAAGCTTCTTGGATCACCTAAAAAATAAAAAAGATAAGAAAACATTTTGAGCATATATAAATAATATAAATATTGCAAAATTTCTAAAAAACAGAAAAGTATAATGATTGCAACACTCAATCTTTTAAAATCTAGACAACAAGAAAACTGTGAAATTCAGCAAATAAGTGGTTATATAAAAATTTTTTAATAGAAGTTTCTTAAAAGTATTAAATGTATTGATTTATATATTTTTAACTTTGATATTATGCAAAACAATGTATGTCGGTGGATGTCACAGAAGATCTAATCAAGTCTATTCAATGACAAATACAGAAGGCACTTGTCGACACCTGAAAGAAACTAAAACTGAAAGAGATCTAGGTGTTCTGATATCAAATGATCTTAAAGTCCGTGCCCAAGTGGAGTCTGCAGTCACTTTACATCACATATGTGCGCCCAAACTTGGAATTCACTATTCAAGCATGGTCTCCTCACCTAAAAAAAGATGTTAATATGCTTGAAAGAGTTCAGCGCAGAGTAACAAAAGTTTCTTCTATCAAACATCTCCCATATGAGCATTTGAATATATTCAGTTTGACAACACTAGAAAAGAGAAGAGTCAGAGGAGATCTTATTGAACAGTTTAAAATTCTGAATAAAATTGATGATGTTAATTTTTTTGTTCCTCAAAGGTTCTCTAATAACGCATATAACAGGAGAAATCATAACAAACAGCTACACAGACAGATTGTTAGCGACTGCAAAGAGCGACATCACTTTTTTACTAGTTGTGTCACACTGTCCTGGAATATGCTACCACAAAAAGCAATTGACACTCACACGGTCAACTTATTCAAAAGTTTCCTATCATAATGGACAACTTGTCTCGTAAATAATTTGCCCTACACATTAGATAGTATAGAGATGCCTGGTGTTGCATCTCTTCGTCAATATACTTTATAAATAATGATTGATTAATTTACAGTATTGCTAAATTTTGTGAAAAAATTTATTCTTGATTGTAAATTTATTGATTCTAAATAAAATCAAATTCAAATTCATTATTGGATAAATAGACTGAATGACAGGTAATAAAACCATCCCAATTGATTACTGGCTAACCACGGTGTGATTTTTTAAATAATTTACTATAAACTGCGGAAAATTTGTTAATGATTATATTATTATGATTTTATGGCATACCTCCTACATATATATACAGTGTATATATATATATATATATATATATATATATATATATATATATATATATATATATATATATATATATATATATATATATATATATATATATATATATATATATATATATATATATATATAGTAAAGACCTATTTTTGGTTTGTCTCCACAAATGGCAACAAAATATAATCATTAACTATTGTTATTATTGTTTCACCTGTGTTTCACCTGTGTTGAAGTTTTGAGTTGCCCATTGATGACTTTTTTTAAAATGCTGTTATTTCATTAGAAAGACCTAAATTTGATATGTATTATTCTAATAAAAGTGCAATAAATATATTTTAAGTAATTATTTTATTATACTAATAAAATAACTAACTATATAAATAACTGTCTTGGCTAAAGGTTATTTCATTGGATTCAAAATATGTTATAAATAAATAAAACTAGAAAAACAGAGCTGTTAATGGTATTAATGTAAACATTAAAGCAGTTATTTTTAAAGTTAAAATTAGTGTTAAATGATTTCTTAAAAGCATTTTTAGTTTGCTTTATGTAAAATTAAAAAAAATTATACATTGAAAAATTACAATATTAAAATTATTTTTGTGTATATTATATCTTTTTTTTGTACTATATACAGATAAATACTTCATTTAAAGTATAATTTTTAAATTATCTTTAAAGCTATTTAAGGAGCAAAAGATCATATTTAAGGAGCAAAAGATCATAAGCTACTTAAGGAGCAAAAGTTCATATATTAAAAATTGTATTTGAGTTAATGTTATAAATTTTTGTTTACAATAAAAAAAACAAACATTTCTTAATAAATTCATTTTGATTTTTATGACATTACGTGTATTGCTATGTATATATATATATATATATATATATATATATATATATATATATATATATATATATATATATATATATATATATATATATATATATATATATATATATATATAATAAATTAATCTAAATCCCGATATAATTTATTATATATATATATATATAATAAATTAATCTAAATCCCGATTTAGATTAAAGAACAATCAATATAAGAATGAAAATCAAGTGTGGTAAAAAAATTATTAACACTGAAAACCATGCAGATTAATTTTCATTTGTTTTTTTTTTGACAATCATTGCGATATTCTTAACCAAGCTTGTTATGAGAAAAAAAGTAAAAATAAAGAAGAACAATTTCAGATCTTAAAAATTGCGACATTAATCATTTGAAAGGACATCCAATCATTAGTCTTTGATAATACCAATTATCCCTTGCCTAGTCCAATGTTTGAAGATATTACCAGCGAAATTCCAGAGTCATAGTCTTTTTTTTGGAACAAGTAATTTCTTTATTGACAGTTTGGTTCAAAACACCTTATACAAATCTTTTCGTCTTTTGGTTTATGCGCATCCTACAATGACACTGTGATGTATGAGGCATCATTATTTTACCATCATCCACCATTTCTTATTAATGTTTCCACCACAAGCTGGCACATTTATTCAATATAATCCAGACAACGCTAATATGAATGTAAAAACTTTAAACTGTAATAATTCATTTACATAAAGGGTGTTCAAATTATAACACCTAAAGATCAAATACCACATTTACATAAAGGTACTCAAAAATTTTGTTTACACATAAAGATCAAATACCACAAATAGATCTTGTTATAAATGATGAGATAGCTACAGATGTTAATATTACCATTGAAAATGTCATAAATAACATAATTTTATAAAATGATGTTGAAAGTAGAGGCGATAATGAAATATGTAAAGAATTACTTTACATATTTCATTATCGTCAAGACCTATAATATATACTGAGAACAATAAAAGAGTCAACTATCTTGTCTTCTTCCAACATCTGCTTCTGCTAGTCAACACTTATATCCAGTACACTATCAAGTTCAAGTATAGAGAGGCAATCAACTGGACACAGCAAACTGGGGTAGGAAATTAATAGGTAATACATTAGAACCAATTTAAACTTTACTCCGCAAATACTTCTCAATGCCATCTTTTGCAATTGCAAAAAGGGTTGTAGTGCAAAATGTAGCTTGCAAAAAAGTCCGGTTACCAGTATGTACTAATTATCGAGACCAATCACCAGTATGTACTAATTATCGAGACCAATCGCCAGTATGTACTAATTATCCAGGCCAGTCTTGCTCAAATGTTGAATCAATTTCAACAAATGAAGATTTTGATGGTATTATTGATGAGACAGCTTTTTTTTCACATTTCCTGCTAGAATAATGATAAGATGAAGTAGAAATAAAAAAAGATAAAGAAGATAAAAACAAAGAAGATGTAGCGTACTAATATATATAGTAGTATATGAAATAATACTAACATATAATATTTAAAACATAATATACAGATTATGCTGAATAAGACTTTTTCAATTTTAAGATTTGCAATATCTCAGGAATAGTAATTCTAAGAAGAAAAAAAAAAAAAGATAATTTTTGCAGATAATTTCATGATCTAAAATTTTTGCTTGATCTATTTTTTTTATTTTTTAAATAAAACTTACCATTTACCGGAAAAATCTGAAAAACCATTTTTTTCAACCTTTGACCTTGAATAACCTTTTTTGCAGATGCAGAATCGGTGGGGACTTTTAATATTTTATTTGTAATAATGTCCCCAAGATCTGCATCAAATATCAGCTCAATGCAAATTATTGTAAACTGAAAGTCTATTTTGACCAGACTATAATGTTTTTTTCTTTAATGACACTGTTAAAAGGTAATTATTAATTTATTAGTAAATTAATTTTTATTTTTTATTGAACTGGTAATTTTAATAATTTAATTTAAGCAATGTTATGCAAACAAGTTAAGTGGTGTCATCCAACAGCTTTATCATCAATTTTAAATAGTCCATCACCAAGTATCTGAGAAAAACCACACATAGAATTCAGGCAATTCACTAGAAACAGTTGCTGTAAGAAACTTCTTTAGTAACAGAATAGTGCAAGATTGGAGCAAACTACTTAAGGATTTAGTAGTTCCAAAAACAGTTTCAAGCTGTTAGCCTGGCCAATGACACTGCCTATACTGCAGAGTTCCAAATGGGTTTGAAATTCCTAAAATTCAATGACCTTTCAATGACAAATATGATAACTTATCATCAATTAATTGCTATAGTAGAAATCCAGAAATCTCTGCAAATATTTGTATTATCTATGCTTCAGAGAAATATGATGTAATAATAAGTTAATAGTGTTAATGCCCACTTGTGTGTTTTGGCATGAAGCTGTAGGCAAAAAAAATATATATATATTAAGTTTTTTTTTGTATGTTTTTATAAGAAAGTGTAAGAAATTTATAAATAGATATGTAAGTATGTGATTTGTGTAAATTAATAGCAACATGACAATATTATTTAAAATTACGCCAATGTAAAAATTCTATTTGTTTAGTGTTACGTACAAATGTCTGTGTGTAAATGTCAGCAGGTTAAGTTGAGCTTGTGGTTATATATTTAACAATCCTGTATAATATATGTATAATGTTATATGATCACTTGGTAAAAATATGGTAACAATTTTAATTTTTTTCTTGCTTAAATTTGTTTGTTTTGTATTTTAAAAAGCGAAAAAATTTAAAAACTAAAATTTTTTTGCAAAGCAGTAGATTTGAACCCATTGAATTGTTAGAAGGTTGACACTGAGGACAACGTACATAACTGCTGAACTACAGAAGAATTAAGTCTCTCGGAAAACTACACCATTTGATAAACTTTTTATATCAATTGTAATTCAGCAACACTTTTAAATTAAAAAAATTTTTAAACACTTTTCAAGCAGGTATTATAAATAAGGCCATCTATATTGCATAGCAATTAATATAAATTTTATTTGAAATCCACAATCTTTTATACAAAAAAAAAAAAAAAAATCTACAGGTATTAAAACTGCATTTAAATAAATTGCAATTAAATTGAATTTATAATTATGAATAGAAAATATGAAAATGTAAAAGATAATATGTTTTATGCAAATGTATAAAATCCGTCACATTATATAACAATATGCAGAAATGTCTATAAGTGTAAACATTAGTACTACTGAGTAAATCATGTGTAAGGATTGTGTATGTATTATAAATATCATGAGAAAACTTTTAGAATTTTTTTAACAATAAGTCTTCTCTGCTTGAACTGTTTTGTTTTGAATTTTTGTATTTATGTTATTTTAAAAAATCAGATCAGAAGAACACAAAAAATTTCTTTGTTACTAATATAAGTCTTAAGTCTTAAAATTGAACGTTTTTTAAAAGTTTTATAACATTCATTAATTCACCATGACTCTCCTCCTACCCATCTTGATAGTTTCTGTTTGGTAAAATTTATATCATAGTTTAATAATCCGCCAAATTTGCTATTAAAAATCTGCTATTATATATTTTCAATAATGTCTGCATTACTTCTAAAAATATATGCAGAAAATAAATCTGTTTTCTTATTGGGTGATTTTAATATAGGTTTGATACAATCAAGTAATGACATTGCGACCTGTGATTTTTTAAACTTACTTTCTATTTATAATATTCGCCCTTTTATTACTTTGCCAACAAGAATTACTGAACACTCTGCTACAATCATTGACAATATTTTTTCTAATTCAATAACTAATGATATTATTTCTGGAAATTTGACAACTTTTGTCTCTGATCTCAATTTTGTATTTGTCCCAATTTTAGCAAATTATTTTTACTACGGAGTCACAAAATATATTGTAGAAATTTTAAAAACTTTGATAAAGAAAAATTTAGATCTGACTTATTAAAATGTGATTGGGATGATGTTATTAAAAACAGTGACACTAACTCTTGTTTCCATAAGTTTATTACTGAAACAACATCGATTTTGGATCACTATGCCCCACTCAAAAAAACTAGTATTAAGAGCTTCAAATGTGGACTTAAACCATGGATTACAAAAGGAATCATAAAATCTATTCAAATGCGCAATCTTTTTCAAAAAAAATGTTAAGATCAAAAGATTTAATGAATATAAACACATTTAAAACTATTTTTAAGTGATACAAGTTCATGATATTTACTTTATTTAAACTTTTAAACAAGACTTAATTAATTTAATTAAACAAGAAAATCCATTAAAAAAATTTCTTTTTAGATAATGTAAAAAATCTTTGCGAAATTTGGAAAGGCATTAATAATCTAATTAATGTCAAAAATTATAACAGCTTATCTCCCAACAGTTGCAAGATAATGATAGATATTTAACTGAACCGATTGAAAAATTTAACACTTTTTTCACAAATGTTGCTCATAAACTTAAATCCAATATTCATTCGTCTTACGCCAACTATCAAAAGTATCATAAATATCCAAACTTACAGTCTACTCTTATCTCCAAAAAACATTCCTGAAATTTCATCTCTTATATCTAAATTGAAGCCGAGAAAATCATTAGGTCCACACATTTTGTGGAACTTCCATATGGTTTCAGTAATTTGACATTATGTCGATAAAGTTACTCTTTTAAATATTTACTATGCATTATTTTCATCTCATCTTAGTTATTGTTGTCAAGTTTGGGGTCAAACTGGCAACTATCATATTAACAAACTAATGTCATCTCAATGCCAATCCATTAGAATAATAAACTTTCAACTTTTCCAGATACATCAGATTATTTTTAAAAATTTAAAATTCCAACCTTTCATTTGCTAGTAAAGTTTGCTAATCTTCTTTTTGTTTTTAACTCTCTAAATAAAAAGTTACCTTCTATTGCAAACTTTTTTATAGAAAGTAGACTAATTCATACACACTCTACGCGAAATATAAATAATGGAAAACTTATTGTACCATCATATAAAACTCAAAAGTATGGTAAGAATTCTGTTGTGTATCAGTGCATCTGTGAATGGAACAAGAGCCTTGTGTGCATTGTGAATGATTTCAATAAACTCCAAATTCCTTTGTCATCTTTTCTTAATCTTAATCAAAATCAATTTAAAAATATATTTTGTTATAATTTTTTCTATTACTATAATAATTATCCTTATTTTTTTGTTTGCTTTTCTTTTCTCTTTTATTATTACCTACATATATGATTTTTAAAAACTTAACTTTATGTGTGTCTATGTTTATGTTTATGTTTTTTATCTATATGTTTATTATTATGTTTTATGTTTATTATTAGTCATTATTTTGAAAAATGGTGTCACTTCTTTGATCAGACTTCTGTACCAGCGACACCATCCATACAAATCATTAACTTATTGTAATAAGAAATAACATCATTTTATTTATTATTATTATAATAATTATTATTATTTATAATTTTTTATTTGTTATTATTATTATTGTTAAATTATTACTATTGCTTATTATTTTATAATTATTATTGTTATTATTTACCTTATTATTGTAAAAATGATTTTTAAATGAAGAATAAATAGCTTGTTTTTGTTGTTGTTGTTGTTGTTGTTGTTGTTATTTGTTGTTGTTGTTGTTGTTCAAAAAAACTTTGAAAACTTTTTATTTTAATAAAGTACTTTTTTTAAATGAAAAAATGTTGTTATTAAAATATTAAAAACAATTAAAAGAATTAAAGATTATTTATTTATAACAAAAAAGTTGAACAAGGTGTAACAGTTATCCGACATGGTCTCCATGACTCATTTTTGGTTCCTCTTTAGCAGCTTTTTAATAGCAGATTTGGCGGATTATTAAACTATGATATTTTTTTATTTTCAAAATCTTTCTTTTAATTAATTTTAAAAATTTCCCAAAATTTTTGCTCACACTGTTCAGCCATCCCCTTCATTTATTTTCAGATACCCCCCTCATTTATTTTCATACATCTCTTTTTTTTATTTTCAGGAATTCGCTCATTTATTTTAGACATCTACATTTATTGTGTTGCCTCTTTTTTATTTTTTTATATTAGAGTGCAATGAAAGATGGGTATGTTATCACAAAACAGCAAGATGTTAATTTTCTGGCACAAAAACTTTCTTCTCTTCATGTTCAAGTTAGTGGTTTTTTTTTGTTTTTGTTTTTTGTTTTGTTTGTTTGTTTGTTTTTTTTTGTTTTGTTTTTTTATATATATATATATATAAAGTTTTGTTTAATACTTGCTAATTTTATTACAATTTTATTTTTAAGAAAATTTGATTTCTTTTAAGAAGTTTTATTTCATTAATTGATTTCTAATTTAAGGTTTTGAATGAAAAAGGTGTTGGCATGAGTTCAGTATTGATGTCCTTAAGTGGTGGTCAATACAGAAGTAATAATCTAACAAATATTAATGGTTTTCTCAGCTTCACTTATCTGGTAATATAATCATAACCGTATAATAAGTTCTTTAATAATAGTTCTCAAAAATTTCTTTTTAGAGATTTAGAATTTTTTTAAGTTCTAATAAGTTAGATATACAAAGTAACACATGTTACTTAAGTTTTTGAGACTTGATTAATTTTAAGTAAAATATGTAAACTTTTACTCAATTTTTTGACAAAATTTGTAATTGTTTCCAGGGAAAAGCTTTGGGATCAAAAGTTATGTCATTATACGTTATTGTGCTTTTTTTTTTGTCTTCAATTATACATTAAATTAATTTTTATTCTTCTTATAATTATCTGTTATATAATTTTATTATATTAATACAGGGCTCGAAATAACAAACTTTTTTTTACTGGGCAATTTGTCCGTTAAATACTCAAGTATAACCAACATGTCTGATAAAAATTGAAAAAGTGTGATTGAATGCCATTTCTGACCATGCTTAAAATGTTTTGTTTTTACAACTTGACCACGCAATTTTTTTGACAACTCTAGGCATTTCAAAGTGCACTGAAAATAAAATAAAAATTTGTAAGATAGATAATCTAACAAAAAAAAATCTTAGAGAAAAAGAAAAAATTTAAGCTCAAAAAACTAAAATTTGATTAAACTAAAATATATTTATATTACGTTTTTTTAAAAATTACTATACTATGCAAAATGCTTTGTAAATTATTAAATACATAAACTATTATGTAAAAATATTAAACATTTTTAATAGCAAAAATTTTTAGTGCAAAAACAAATTACGTATTAACTCAAATTTAATAGTGTAATAAAAAGTACTGGTTTATATAAGCATTAAAATAACTGTTAAAATTTTTGTAAAACAATTTTGTAAAAAAAATTTCGTAAATATTTGCTGCAAAGCATAACCATCTTTAATCAATTTTTGGCAATTACTTAATAACTATCTTAAGTCAATTTTTGATCATAGAAGCGTTACAGAAGCCCTTAGTGGATCTAAAATGAAGTACTTCAAGTTTGACACAATGTTTTACATATTAAATATAAAATGCAGTAATGGTGTAGTGGTATAGCAACCTCTACACCACTCATAATCTTTTATATTTAAATCTTTTTATAGCTATTGATGAGACTTGGATCTTCCATTATCATCCTAAACTGAAACAAGAATGTTTACAGTAGACTGAAGTTTGTTGTTTGGCTCATAATAGTTTGTTTGTAGTTGTTGTTTGTAATAGTTTGTTTGCAGTAGTTTTATAAAAAAAATAGTTGGTAAAAAAAGACCTGGTTTACACAAGAAAACAATCATTTTTAATCAAGTCAGTGCACTTGCAGTTAAGTGCTTTGTGTCAAAGTAATAAATAAAACGAATTAATTTTTTTTATCAATTTCTACAGAGTTCCAAATTTAAGTTGGTAAATAAGGTAAAGGAAAGAGTTAAAGAAAATATCAAAAAACTTATAATAATAATGAAAAGTAAAGATAGGAGAGAATTTAATGTTTTAAGAAAAAAGCATGTAGAATCATTGAAATAAGTGTGTTAAAGTTGAGACAGGAAAACTAGTTTTATTTAAAAAAATACTTTTTTTTTCATTTTTGCAAAGACTCCAAAAAAACATACTAAACTGTATATATTTTTAAACTGACTTAAGATCCCTTTAATGCTATTAGAAGTTCATCCATTAATTCTAAAATTTTATATTGTCATAAATATCAACAAACTACTGTCAACAATATACATTCTTTTTATAGCAATACACAGGGATTTTGATACATTTTTACTTTTTTCCGGATATCAAAATAGTTTTCTGGAAATACAAGTCAAAAATATTTTTTTCGTCATCAAATAATTAAAACAGTAAAGTTATTGTTCATTAATTACTTTATGCTTTATTTTACTTATATTTTTACAAATAATTTTTCTTGTTTGTCAGCATTTATTTATTAATAAAGGGATTCCCATATGCCGATACAAATTGGAATAACTGCTTAGCTTTAGGTGAATAAAATTTAAGTAAAATTGCAAAAAATTTTATTCTCATAAAGGTGAGCAATTACTCAAAAAATGCTGAGTAAAATTGCTTTTTATTCACCCATTAAAAAATGTATTTATGTATTTAAATTATAAAATAAGTTTTTGAGGTAATAAAATTACCAAATCAATTTATTTATTGAGATATTAACAAAAAAGCATTTATTGTATTTCCATATATTTCTGCAGTATTTATTAAAAAAATTCAATTTTTTTCTAAATAAATACTGCAGAACTTACCTTTGAAAAAAAAATGGCGCTAAAAATTATTTATTAAAAACTTTATTGTTTATGTGTTGACAAATACTTTAATTTGGAACATTTAAACACTCAGAGATCATATTTATTATTTTGACTAACATCCTAAAATAAAATTTATAAACTATATTTAAGTAAATCTTAAAATACTTCTCTTAGAAGAATGCCAAAAATTTTCTTTTCAAGTACATTAGATATTCTTAAATACACAAAGAGCGTTTTTATTCCCGGATTTTTCCGGACATGTCTTGAAAATATTTTTTAGGATATTTCAAGGAAAAAATTTTCCGGATATTTTAAATATGACCAGGAAAATCTATGAATACAAGAAATGTAATAAATTTACTGAGCTATTAATGAGAATATCAAAACTTGGATTTCCCCTGGTGTTAAATAGAAAATAGTTTTGATACCATTTTCAGAGTTTGTTTTTGATATTTAAGATTGTATAATATTTTTTATAATTTATTTTTAATATTTTAAATGGAAATAAAATCTTTTAATGTTTTTTTAGTAAATTTATTTTAAAAAAACTAATTAAAAATTCATGCTAAAAAAGTAGAAGAGTTCACTCTTTTTCTATGACTTGTTTGATCCACTGCCCTTCCAGGTGTCAGCCCCAAGTTTAATATAATGATTTTATATTCAAATAATGCAATTTTTATACATATCAAACATATGTGCAATATATTATATCAAGCTTATATGCAAAAATTAGAACTAATGGAATGGTTTCTTTTAAAAAAAAAATTCTTTTCAGTTTAGTACAGGCGAGTAAAAACCCAGGTTTTGTTTAATTATTTATTTATTTCTTTGTTACAGAACTTATTTTGCTGCAATACTGTATTTTAAAATTTTTATTTCTTGATTTGTATTTTATAAAAAAGACAAAATAATATGCAAAATAATTACAAATCTGTGTAACTAATATTATGTTGATTGGAAATAATATTAATGAGCTATAAAAAATAAATTACCCACTATGCACTATGAGTGTATTTCTGTAAACATTGTACTCTTATTATCTAATTGTTAATCTGCTTTGTTGTTATTTCTATTTTGTTATTTCTATTTTGTTATTTCTATTTTGTTATTTATATTTTGTTATTTATATTTTGTTGTTTATATTTTGTTATTATAATAGATTTAAACAACAGTGTTATTATTAACAGGATTTTTTTTTTACAATTATGTTATGTTTATTATGATGCTTTAAATACAAAATACATAAATCTAAATAATGAAAATAAAAAGTATATTTCTATTATATTTTATTATTTTGTCTTGATTGAACAATTATTAATTAACATTAAATTTTCATGCAAACTTTTATTTTTATTATAGAACCCTGGGCAATATTTTTTGCGACCCATGCAGAAGGAATATAAGTTTGAACCAAATAGCAAGGTATTTGTTTTGTTATTACCATGCCTGCAAGTGGATGTGAGCAAAATTTTATGACTTGTAAAAGGAAAAACTACTTGAAAATAACTACTTGAAGAAATTTATTATAATATTTATAAAATGTTTAGTTCATAGTTGTTACAAATTTAGAAGTGATAATAATTAGATAAAAGACTGAGTCTTGTTTTCCTGCTTGTTGGAAAATGGCATCTGTGGTTCCAATATTCAAAAACTCTGGAGAAAATTCTGACCCCTCCAATTATCGTCCGATCAGTCTTCTTTCTGTTATTAGCAAGGTCTTTGAGTCTTTGATCAACAAATTCCTCACATCTCATCTTGAGTCAAATAAACTACTGTCAGACAATCAATACGGTTTTCGATCCTCTTGCTCTACGACTTGCTAACTGCTGTAACTGAAAGATTTTATTGTGCATTAGATGGAGGCGGTGAGGCTAGGGCTATTGCTCTAGACATATCTAAAGCTTTCGACAAAGTTTGGCATGCTGGTCTTCTCCATAAGCTTGCTTCATATGGTGTTTCTGGGAAAGTTTTTGAGATTATCAAATCATTTCTTTCTAACCATTTTATTAAAGTCATCCTTGAAGGCCAACACTCTTCTTTATTTCCAGTAACTTCTGGGGTTCCCCAAGGTTCCATCCTGGGCCCTGTTTTGTTTCTTATCTACATAAACGATCTTCCTGACAACCTTTCATCTAAAGTAGCTCTTTTTGCTGATGACTCAACTTTATACTCCTGTCTTGACAAAAAGTCTTCTCTTTTCGATCGCCTAGAACAAGCAGCTGATCTTGAATCCGATCTTACTTCAGTAATAGATTGGGGTTCACAGTGGCTTGTGAATTTCAACTCTAAAAAAACCCAGTTGCTTACTGCAAACAACTACCGTAATATGGTCAACATTCCTATATTAATGAATGGCAATCCTCTTACTGAGTCGTCCTCTTTACGTCTTATTGGATTATCGCTTACTACTGACCTTTCATGGAAACCATATATACAATCGATTGCTAAATTAGCTTCTGGTAAGGTTGCTTCTCTTTATCGTGCTCGTTATTTTCTTACTTTTGATTCCATTCTCTACCTCTACAAATCTCTTATTCGTCCCTGTATGGAATACTGTTGTCATATTTGGGCTGGTTCTTCTAACGATTCACTTTCTCTTCTTGACAAGGTCCAAAAACGCATTGTAAATGTTGTTGGACCTGGACTATCTGCTAAGCTTGAACCTCTTTCCCATCGTCGTAAAGTTGCATCTCTTTTCTTTTCTACAAATACTATCATGGTCACTGCTCAAAGGAGTTATCATCTCTAGTTCCATCAACTAAAATTCATTCTCGTTTTACTCGTCATTCAGCTAAGTCTCATTCGTTTACTGTATCTGTCCCTGCATGCCCTAAAAACTTTTATTCATCTAGTTTTTTTCCCCGCACTTCAATCCTTTGGAACTCTCTCCCATCTTCATGTTTTCCTGACTTATACAACCTTCAACTTTTCAAGTCTTCTGTCAACTGTTTCCTTGCTCTATAACTCTGTTCTTTTTTTTCCGAGTAACTCCCAACTTGATAGTGGTTGCTTGCAGCCTTGTTGGGAGTGAATGCAAATAAAAATAAAAATAAAAAGACATGAATGTTAAATGCTGAGATGCTCTGTGATAAGATTATTAGGTTTCCTTGGAGCACCTTAATCAGCAATTAAATAAATAAAAGGTAAACAAATCTAGAGAATAGTAAATAATGGCAGTCTAATGAGTTTCATAGCATAGTTAATAGACTCATAAAGTTTATATTGATGGTTTATTGGCAATTCATTCTTTTTTCCTTTTTCCTAATTTTGTTGTAAGATAAAAAAAGTATAAAAAAAATATATTAAAAAAATATATATATAAAAGTGTAAGTATAAGAAAAAATTAAAGCAAAAATTTCAAATTAATTGTATAATTAGTATATGCAACATTTATTAATGATTTAAGTCATAAAAGAATTTGTGAAGTAAGTTTTTGTGATGTATTCAGAAATTATTTTAATCATAAAGAAAAAGGTGAAATTATGGAATAAATTTTGTTGAATTTTTTGTTGAAACCATAGAATTTTTAGAAAAAAATTATATAAATGAAATAAATTTTTTTTTCATACTAATACTATAACATTGTACTGGAACCATTGTAACAGTGTGACAAACACATTGTACTGGAACCATTGTAACAGTGTGACAAATAGAATTAGATTAAGTGATTAAGTATTTTATTAACATGAACATACTTTTAGATGATTGATATTAAAGAAGGTGAAGAGTTAACAATTGTTATAAGTGGCACAAGAGTGGCTTTCAGGTATGACTAAATTACAAGAGTGGCTTTTAGGTATGACAATCAAAAATAACAAGTTAAACTTGATTTTTAATTTTAGCTCAATTTGGATTTTATTTTATTACTTTTTTTGTTTTTGCTTTCAGTTGCGTTGGTTATTTATCTACTTTATCTGGGATACCACAAGAAAAAGTAGCAATTGAGGTATATTTTTGTTTGATTGTAAAATTGCATTATTCATTAGCTTTATCATTATATATAGGGTAAATTACCTAGTTATTAATACCTTCTTTTTTTTATCTAGTTTCTGATAAATAATTGTTTTAATATTTATAAGTCTCTTATAAATATTCTTTTGTTAGTTTTTCTTTAAATTATCAATCTTTCAGTCTTCGCCTATAGTTCAATAGTTGGGCCAATGACCTTTGATGATAGTTGGGGCAATGACTTTTGATGATAGATTAGGGGACTATAACTCCTGAAAGAGTTAAATGACAACCACTAGCAAGAAACATGTATTTGTATGGCAATTTGAAAGGATTAAAAAAAAAATTAGAATCCTGCAAATATCACAAATATACCAATTTTTTAAAATATTCTTATGAAGAAGGTCAACATAAAATAATTAAAAAAGTAAATCCAACCTTGATGTTGATTTAATCCAATTAGTTAAATCTAATTAAATTTTTTATCAGACCGTTGAAATTGATATACAATAAATTTCCTATTCAATTTCTTCCAACAATTTATAAATCTCCTATTTCTTTTTAAAATCTTTCATAAAATTTTCAGTTAAATTAATAGAATTGTGCTTTGGATAATATTGAGAAATCTATGAATTTCAATTTTTGATTCCTCACTAATAAAATTTACATATTTATTTTCATATTTTATTTTAAACTTAATCTTAAAATGATTACAAATGATTTGATCTTTTTCATACATTATTTATTTCGATTATAATGTTTCTTGTCTAAGCCAAACTTTTATCTGCTATTATTCTAGAATATTCCGCAATTTATGTTCCCTGTTGAAACCAGAAAATCATGATTTCAAAATATTGCTAGTCAAAGGAAGGAGAAGGGAGTGGGGGAGGATTTTAGCTTAAATGCATCGTATTTGGACTGACTTAAATAGGAAATTTATTTTATATAAACTTCAGCAAAATTGATGATTCCAGTAATATTTCATGCTAAAATGTACTCAACAGAAATAGCTTTATCTCTAATCTTAGACTGTAGAATGAGTAGGGCTGACTCTCAAACTATTAATCAAGGAAACTTAATTAAAGGTTTCATATTATACCCTTATAACATCAAATTACAGTGCTTCTGTAAAAAATGAATAATGAATCACACTTCAAACAGGGTTTAGAAAATCATGGATAAATCCTAACTACCTGAACCTTATATATCCTAACCAACTGAGCCTTATAATATTCATCTTATAAGCAATGTCAGATTTGAGGGTTTAACTGAACAGTCTGTTAATAAACAGAAAACTGAAGATGCGGACGACAGATTGCTAGTTCCAGTTGAAAAATCTTTTTTCTTTCATGTACACCGGTTTGGACAGTAACGTAATGGCGTGCTATCGAATGCTAATGATTTTTTTTTTTGACTTGACCACGGCTGTTTAGATGTTTTGGTATAAACTGAAAAAAGAAACACTAAGCTAAAATTAATGAAGAAGAAAATTAAAAAAAAAACTAAACAAAAAAGAAAACAAATCTTTTTTAAAAAAAAAATGTATAAGCACAAAAAAAAAAAAACTCTAAACACTCAAACATGAAGCGAAAATTACTATTTGTTACGTTTTTAATTGCATTTGAAACAAATTATTTTAAATCTTATCTTTTGAATGAAATATTTTGAAAGTTGCACAAAACGCTTTTATGTTAATTTTATGTTAATTTTATGTTAATTTTATGTTAAGCAAAAAATTACTTTTAATGATTGTTTTAATTGTAAAATAAATGAACAAATTTTTTTTTAATTATTTAAAAGTGTTACATATAATATTTTTAAACTGTATAAACATTTATTTTTTCAAAATAATTGCAAAAAAAAAAAACATTGTAACAAAAAACGTCTTTTTAAAATAGTTACAACCTTAATTAAAAAATAATTAAAATAGTTTGAACTTATTTATGCCTATTGTAATTAAAAATAAAAAAAATCTTATGAAAGTTAAAACATGAAAAGATTTTAAAATTTTATAATATTGCAAAATACTTCAAAACTTTTACATTAATCAACAAAATTTAAAAAAGTTTATAGAAGTAAAAAAAGTTATTTTATATTTACGTATAGTTTTCATATTTTATGAATTTATTCCTAAACTCGTTCTTAACAACAATGTTACAAAAAGTTTTGAACTCAAATTCATAATTTAAAGTAACATGAAAAAATATTTTTTTAAAATAACCATTTAAAAGATTTTTAAAAAGACGTGGGAAAATAGTTTCAAATATTTAAATTTATCATCAAAAATACATGCTGACATAAAAGAAAAATCATACATTTTTTTTTTATCTACACAAAATGCGTTAATTTTAAATAATCATAATAAATTTTTTATTTTGTTTGAAGCCTTTGCATTTTATAAAAACTTTAGGAAAAAAAAAAAAAAAAAAAAAATTTAAAAAGTAAAAACAACAAAACAGTCAGTGGTCAAATGGTAAAGAAAAAAATCTAAAAGCATGGTCAATTACAGCGTTTGATCGCATGCCTGTGTACAGTACCTGTACAGCCTAAAGTACTAGTATTAATGTTAGTCTATTGACTAACCCCAAAACATCCTTAATTTAATATTGTTGTGTTTGAATGCAATATGTTTAAGAAAATTAGCAAATTCCTAAAGCAGAATATGATTTGATGTCAATTTTACATGTAATTGTATTCTGACCTCAGTTGACAGTTTATATCAACTGAGGTCAATATTTATGGATCCCCAAAAATCAATAATTTTGATATTGCTTACAGTAGACAACCTAATCTTTTCTTTGAACCTAAGAATTTACACTCTCCATCTCTGGATTCATTGTTTGAATGTCCCTTACCAAGGTTCCCACTCCTTAAAAACCTTAATTATCCTTTAAAAAAAAATCCTGCTTAATAGTCCTTAAATAACCTTAAAAAAAGGTAAAATTTGACTGCTCTCCTTAATTCTCCTTATTTTTTCTTTCTTTATTATTCATATAGGAAGTTTTATTAAAGTGAAGGATTATACTTATTAATAAAGAAGAAAATATCTATTTCTTTGATAGTTTGCAAACCTATATTTCGAATATATATATATATATATATATATATATATATATATATATATATATATATATATATATATATATATATATATATATATATATATATATATATATATATATATATATATATAGTATTGCAACTTTAAAAAAAGAAACACACATTAAACAAATACACAAGAGTATTATTAAAAGAAGTGTTCATATATAAAAATCTAGTACTTATAAGGCTGTCCGTGGTTTTTCAACACACATTTGATATGGTTTGGCATCGACTGAACCAGTTTTTGACAAAGATCCGGGTGATTTTGGTGCACCACACCTTAATGTTGTAAATGAGTTCTTCAATGCTTTAACTGTAATATTTTCTTACTTTTCTTTTCATCGCTGTCCAGAGATTTTCAAGGGATTCAAATCTGAACTGTTGCCTGGCCAGTCCAGAACTTAAATCCCATTGTCAGTTAGCCACTTTTTTACAACTCGACTGGTATGGCATGGTGCCGAGTCTTGTTGAAACAGTTCACAACAATGCAAGCGCATGGCTAGGGGTAGTTTTGAATTTGAAATTTTTAGGTATTCAACGGAGTTTACCATCTGTTTCGCTGGTATTAAGTATAGAGACCCTCGCCCGATTGCTGAAAAACATCCCCAAACCATAATTTGGGGTGAATGTTTAACTGTCAGCAAGGTATAACAAATATTATCTCAAGATCTAACTGGTCTACGTACATACTGCATGACAAATCCAAATTGCAGAAATGTAGACTCGTCGGAAAACAACACCTTGGACCATCTTTCTGCATTCCAGTCCTTATATTTATTACAAAACTGAACTCTTTTCTGTCGCTGCTGCTTAGATAGCAGAGGTTTGCGGGATGGACGTTGAGCTTCTAAACCAAACGAACACAGTCGGTCACGTACTGTTTGTGTACTCGCACCGCAACCAGTGTCTAGTTTTATTTGGAGACTTGAATAAGTCGGATTTCTGACTGCAGAGCGTCGGAATAGAGAGTATGGTTTCGTGAGAAAAAATCTATAACGCAGCACATTTAACTATAATGACATCATAATTTTATGTTTACATAGCTGCTGTTTGGTTTTATATTTTTTGTATGAATATATGATATATAGACATCAAATTCATTTCTAATTTTATAAAAATGTTAAATTTAGAAAAGTTGCAATACTTTTTGCCAACACTGTATATGTAAAGTAATATATTAATTTATAATAATTTTTCTGTTTATATTTAAAATTTATTGGAAAAAATAAAATTCTGTTTCTAATGTAACTGTTTTCTTCTTGATTCTCCTTACTTTTTCTTTCAAAAATTGTAGTTTGTGACCAAATTTTCTTAAATATTAGAAATATATCTCCCTAAATCTCCTTAAAATCCTTACTTTTAGCCTCTTTTTTAATAGTGGAAACCCTGCTTACATATTGGACAGAGAAGAAGACCAGGATATAATGATCCCGGATTTTTTCATGTAAACACAACTGAAAAAAACAATTAGTTGCATGTAATAAAAGAGAAATTAAGAAAAAATTTAAAAGTACACTTGGACTTGTCATTAATCTTCCAAGAAACTGAGGCTCTGATACATCCAATAATGGAAACTCGGCAAGAAGGGCATTTAGAAGCCACATATTTTGCTGAAATACTTGGAGTTGATAAAGGTCATGTTAAAAGATTTTACATTATCCTTTGTGTGTTGTCTTATATGCATCCAATTAATCCAGATAAACTTGACTTAGAGTATATTTCAAAAATACATTTTAGAAATAAGTATCACATTTTAAATTTTATCCAAGGCTTGCTGGTATTTACAAGATGATTGTTCATTCACACAAGGTTGCAAGAGACAAGTCAGTTCCAATATTTTGCCTCTTATTTGAAGAAGCTCATATAAAATAAATAAAAATATATATATATATATTTTTTTGTCATTTCATAAGTATAGGTTTAGCCATGCCCTAACTCATCAGTTGATGTTTAATGTATTTCAATGTGACTATCATTTTATACTTTTTTTGCTTTAGGCTGTTGGAATTCACAAGTGTTCAGATTTACATGAAGCATCTATTTCTGATGCAAGTGGACAATACAGAATACGAGGTCTGCAGGTATGTCATTTCAGAACACTTTATACTTTAAATTAAATGGAATTTTGCGAGTAAATTATAAATAATATTTTAATGGATTTTAAAATAGATTTATCACAGTGGTTTTTTTTTTTTCAAGTTTGCTTTTACTTTATTAGTGAATAATTTGTTAGAAATTGGAAAAAATTTTAAAGGTTTTTTTAGTTCAACTATTAAAATCATTTCTAAAAGTAAAGGTTATAAAAAAAACTAATCGGTAGTTATAATAGTAAGAGTAGTTAACAATAGACACTTACTTTAAAGTAAAGATAATCAATATCGTATCAGTCGATACTGAGAAGAATGGTCTCGTATCACGTGGTATTGCTTATTCAGAATGGAATGAGTTCACAATGGGCAGACATACAATCTGGCAGTCAATTTATCACACTATACTGTGCTTTGAGCGTTCTCCCTAAAAATCAGTCAATTTATGAATTACTTCACCAAATAAGTTAAATTTTTTTAAATCTTAATAATTAATAAACTATTGTTTATTAATAATAGTTATAACGTAAAAACATAAAAAATAAACCGCATTTTTAATTTACTTTAACCTTTAATAGACTTGAACCTAGATCTCCAGATTAATTGGCCATAACTTTATCCGCTTGGCAGCACAAACTATTGAACCTAGATCTCCAGACTCATTGGCCATAAATTTATCCTTGGCCACACAAACTATTATGTTAGAGTATTAAGTTATTAAATATAAAAACAGTTCTACCAGTAATCAATCTCAGGGTTATTTACCGGCATTGCCGCCAATTACCTTTTGAGGCATAATGAGTGAAGATTTTCTTTAATATACTTTGTTTAATTGATCAAAACTAAAGTTGTTGAACACAAAACATAAGACCAGACGATAATTACGATACCACAAGAGAGTTATTTGAAGTAACGGTACCAGATGAAAAATTAAAACATGGATGCGATATCACATAATTAAATTTAAATAACTGTAATGACTGTTACAAAATCAATTCTCTTTGAACAATCATTTCTCATTCTCATTTAGAATAATCATTTACAATTGCATCACAAGCAATTTATTATGGAGAATTATTATTATTATTATTAATTTTTTTTTAAATCATTCACCTCCCCAAGGCCCGAGGGGCCACTACAGTCGAGGAGGCTACTAATTTTTTTTTTTTTTTTTTATTTTTTTATTTTTTTTTTGTTGTAAATCGTGGTACAACCCTCTCTCAACTCTTTTAACTCCAAAACATGAACCTTGGCAAGGCTGCTGCGCAGGGAAATTAAGTTGAGCGCGGTACTTCCAGGGACATGGTGGGAGTCAAACTCCAAACCTATCGCTAACAAAGCGAGAGTTCTTACCACTACACCACTACCGCATAATAAAATATACTATATAAGTATAAATAATATACCGCATTATATAAAAAACTCTCTTTAATGATTGCAAAACTATTCCCTTGGAGATTAATTCCGCACAGAAAATTTTTGCCTGAATGCAATAAAAATTAAATAGAGTTGGAATAACAATATGAGAAATTACACACAACTGGGGCAAATCCAGGTCATTGTTTTAGGGGGTAGTCTGACCAAAAAAGTTATAAAAAATAAGATTTACGTTTTTTTTAAATAAAACAACTGTTTCATTTGATTATTTAGAATGATTTTAGAAAGGTTATAAGATAGTTTGCTAATAAATATATTGAATGTTTATATAAATGCTTCTTTTTTTTTTTTTTTTTTGTTAAAAAAAAATAAAATGTTGAATTACAATTTTTTGTACTTTTCTAATTTTTTTAGATTTAATCAATAATATTTTGAAGTTTGACATTTTTTTGATAAGGGGAGGATAGTAACCCTGAATACCACCCTCCTTTCCATTTTGTCTGCCTCTTACACACTGTTAAACATAATTATTTTCAATAATTTAATATAGAAATAAATGTTAAACAAAATCTTTTCTTTTTAATCACAATAGAAAAAATTGTAATAACTATAACAGATGAGAAATTAAAATGCAGAAGTGATACCACACAATTATTTAAATTAA